TTGTTAGGTCCTCTACTCTGATAGTTTCCGGAAACAAGTACAAGGTAAAGCGGCCTTTGTCCTGGATACCCCTGAAATGAGACGTGTTCGGGAGACGCAGCGACACATTTCCACCGTAAGTATTTGCAGCCAAGAAACTGGCTGCACAAGTAAAACCAGCCATGGTGACTTATTTAGCAGTGCTCAGTATGCCTTAAGATGAAACTGATCCAGGCACAAATTTAATGAAAAGGTAAATGCAGAGTGGGGCTGGGTGATATATTGTCCACAAACTGCCTTGAAGCCGTTATTATGATATCAGTTTCATAATTTTTGACCTGACAATATGCTGCGAGCACACATGCTTTGCAAAAATAAACATGCGGGGGGAAATTTGAAGTCAGCCAATGCTTCTCTTGATTCCCGCAGCCTGTTAACTCTGCTGGCTCAGCTCTCCCTGCCTCCTGCAGGGGACAGCAAATCACAAGAGTAGGCACCAGCAAAAATCCCAATGCGGGGAAAACCATGAAGCCACCATCCTTATTTCAGACATCGTGGTATCTGTATATAGTGATGTTTAGCTGTTGACATATTGATGATGCTGAAAACCAAATATTGCGTAGCCCTAATGCATAGATCAGGTTTGCTGTCACAGAAATGGACATATCTGGTGAACACAGTGAAGTTTACTTGTACTTCTGAACTAGTTAAGGAATTTATATTTCTGCTTGCCTTCTACAATTAATGGCATGTCCATTCCAGCTACCCATGTCTTACCTTGAAAATTCCAGGTGAAATACCATGAAGACTTTGAAAAGAGCAAAGGCAGCTTCACACCTGTAGTTACTGACCCCATAACAGAACGTGTCAAGAAGAACATGCAGGATTTCAGTGATATTAACTACAGGGGCATTCAGAGACGAGTTGTGGAAATGGAGCGGAAACGGATAGATCAAGATCAAGAAATGAATACAGGTACTGATTTTATGCTTTGGTTTTTCCCCTCTGTAAGTGAACTTTACATAATGGTCACAGTTGACAATATATGTAGAAAATTATTTATAGTGATGTGATTTCACATCAAACACATGCACTCTTCTGCCTTGTTAAATTGATATTGAATACATGAGTCCTGAACCCTATGCTTGTAATTGTTCCCAGTTAACCAAATCTGCTTGAACAATTCACTTCTTCCTTACCTTACATATTTTTGAGGACAACACATACTAATTCATGAGAAAGTGCCTTATACTGAGGTGGCCCATTTGGCATACTTTCATCTACTCCACCCACATATCTGTAACATTTACGGTTGCATTGTATTTGCACTCCATGTGGTCACCTCCTGCTATTAGTGGTGCACCTACCTACCAGATACTGGATAATGTACATGCAAATGATACTTTCGACAACTGCGCTAAGGGCTCTTCCCTAATGGTGCAACTTTTTTTGTTGGTGGTGGGTCAACATTGTTAAAATGTAAAAGAACAACATTCTTTCCCATTCATTAAGCATTCTGGTCAAGTCACATTTCAGCAGTGAGTTGCAAAGCATTTCCTAAATTAGTTTTTTGCTGTGTGAATTCCATTTTAAGACCTGTTGGATTCTGCAAATGTGTTTTCTTATACCTATGAAGTCAGAGGCGAAGGATAAAACTAAAATACCCCACCCACCTGTCTTCTGCAGATCTTCGTGTGTGGCGTACTAATCCTGGATCAGTCTTTGACTATGACCCAGCAGAAGACAACATTCAATCTAGAAGCTTACACTTGATTACTGGTATGTTTTGCATCCTGTAACATTTTGCAAATGGCTGTGGATGGATACAAGCCTTTATCCTACAGTTTTAATGCTTTAAACACTCCACAATGTAACTTTCCATTTTGATTTTTAGTTAATTTTGCCTTTGACCAAGTACGCTCCTCCTCAAGACTGTAAATTTCTTCATCTTTCTTTCTTCCCTAGTTCAAGCCCAGCGACGTAGCCGAGAGCAATCCCGCTCTGCCAGTGCTCTGAGCCTCAGTGCTGGAGATGAAAAATCTGAACATTCAGAGGCTGCCGATCAGCACATGTCCTATTACAGCAATGGAGGCTTCTTTACCACAACTACATCAGGTACAAGGGACTCAGGACTACACTTATCTTGCAGGGATACCTCTTCAGGTTGTGTGCACTGCTATTTCAAGGCGGTGGGGGAGGGGACAAGGTTCAAAGCCTTGCCTTTTAATAATATTAACAAATTGTAAAAACAAAAAAACATTAAGAGCATTCGTTATGGTTACTTTTCCATATGTTTCATAAGGACCAAAGACAAAGAGGCTTTGCAGGAAACAATTCTGTCCCTCTTCCCCCAGTGACATAACTACAAATTTTAATATTTATTAAGCTGGGGCTTCTTGCAAATCTGATCATATAGGAGCATGGTGTGGAGGTGCCCAGGCTGGGGAGACAGGGAATAAATGATGCAGTAATGTTTCAAAACTCAGGTGAATTTGGGTAGTGTGATTATAATGGACAGGCAGCACTAACAAATCAGAATTGCCAAAAAATGCAGTAGATAGTTCAATGCAAGCTGCTATATACTATTAGAGATCGTAGGGAGACACTTTGTCCTAAAGACCTTTATTTGTCTTTCAGATAATAGTTCTACGTCCTTTTGTGCTATTTTTCTGGGCAGAAAATAGCAAGCGTTGGACAAGTCCGGGGGTGGGGGAGGAGAGTTAGCACACTGGTAGAATACAGTTCTGTATAGCAATATTCTTGTGTGTTTTTTTTAACTAGAACTATTTATCTAAAATGACACAGCCACATCATCTTTGCTGATTTACATCTGCTGTCACCATTCCCTCATAAAATGCAACCAAGCCCCATTTAAGTTTTATTAAAACACAGCTAAATTATTGAACAGAATCAAAGCTTCCAGCTGGTTTCTCATTATTCAATTTTTTCATTTCCCTTTCCAGTGGACTACAAACACGCTAAAACTGTAGAGCTGCCACAACAACGGTCATCTTCTGTTGCTACCCAGCAGACAACAGTCTCTTCCATCCCCTCTCATCCATCTACTGCAGGGGTAAGGAAAATAAATTATCATATGGCAAGAGTAACAAGTACAAAGAACTAGATTTCTGAATTGCATCCCTGTGTTGCATTGGGGAGAAAAACCTACATGTCTAAATTAATGGTCAACATTGTTCTCTTGAATGTACATTTACAAATGGAAGAGAACAACCAGTCTTATTTCTAAACACTCCTTTTCTTTCTCTAAAATATTATTTAATATTTATATAATCTTTTATACCAACAGAGCTGAGCTCAAAGCAACTCACAATAATATTTTTTTTAAATGACCAGCATTTCTACCACCATAATCATAAGAATTCAGTAAATTATTGCAATTTAATGCAAACTGAAGGTATTTTAAATGGTTTATCCCAACATACTGCATGTATGGTAATACTCTAACAGCATTTATTCTTCTTTTAAAATGACCACCACAGAAGACGTATCGCGCCATGTATGACTATACTGCTGCAGATGCTGATGAAGTCTCCTTCAAAGACGGTGATGCAATCGTCAATGTCCAGGCCATTGATGAAGGCTGGATGTATGGGACTGTGCAAAGAACAGGCAAAACAGGCATGCTTCCAGCTAACTATGTAGAAGCTGTTTAAGCCAAAATGGAGGCAATATTCCATGACACATTTTGACAAGGTAAATAAAAAGGTACCTCACAAAATGGCTGCCTGCTATAATCCTTAAACACTTTCTCAGGTGCCTTATTATTTTCCCGTTGATATATGATATATGCATTGCCTTTACACAACAAACATTCTCTCATTCTAGTCATCACAGAACCAGTGGGAAATACCAACATGGCAGCCTCCATCACTACCTTGATTAAATGGACTTGTGTATTGAAACATTATCTAAAAGAGAATTGTTTGGCTCTCAGTTCCACTGTATTGTCAACCTCTTTGTTTGGAATCAAGCTCATAGTCCAAACTAATCTTACTCTTTTTTAATGAAACATCTAATCTGTGTTGGTTTTAATGCTTTTCTTATCAAGAGATGTTGTGTTCTCCTGTGATATTATAAAAATAGCCAAATGTATTTATTTCTGTTTCAAGTAAGCAATTATGTAAAGCTAACATCTCAAACCAGCCAACCTATATGTGGGAAAGCCTCTCCTCTTGTCTGCTTACAGAACGCTGATGCATGCCTTATTCATCTGAGTGTTCTTTGGTCCTGGTACTCCCTCTCCAAGTGGTGACTAATAAATTTCACAGCTCTGCAAATGTAGTTATGTGCTTAATTTATGCTGGAGGTGAGAAACAGAACACTGGATGCTCAATTCCAAATGGATGTGTGCAGAGGAAATCCAGAACCATGGGTAGGCACAAATGCTGCTAGCTCCTCCCAGTTCTTCTCTGTAGCCAACAGACTCTTACTATTAATCTGATGTCATCGAGACGAAAGGAACCTTAACTGACACCATTCATCAACTGATGTGTGCCTTGGAAATGTATTGTCTGCCAGGCTCAACTAGGCCTGGGCAATGTATCGCCCAGGATGATAGAGGACCAGAGTGCAATGGTGGTTTCACCCACAATATACCACAGGGTGAAGGTGCTGGAGTTGATGCAACTCATTCCTACCTCAGTGCAGCAGAGGGACAAGCTGCATTAGCCCCAGCCCTGCAACGCACCAGGGTCTCACTGAGGTGGTTTGGGGCCGATGCAGCTTGTTCCGCCACCTGCTTTTCAGCACTGTGATGTATCACCAGCCAAACATCACGCTACAGTGATACACTGCAATGTTGAAAAGCTTATCACCCAGCGAAGGGAAAAATATTTACTAACACACACCCTCCTCCCAAGAGCCGGGAGAAGCCTGCAGTAGGATCCCCCAAACACCTTAGGGCTAACATACCTTGGCAGTGTCTCTCGCAACTGTGGTGATGAATGGTTTGACTAGCTCCTGCAGAAACACCTCCTTCTGGGATGAGACAAATTACACTGCTAAAGAAGAGCATCTTTCACCTGAAGAAATCTGAGAAATGCAGCTGCAAGGTAAGAGTAGCCACCACAGACGGGTGGGAGTGAAATGTGGCCCATAGCACACTCAAACTGTGACTCCTTATTAAGCAGTTTCCCATCCCTTGGGAGTTCAACAAAGCCCCTACCAGCTCTACCAACATAGTACATAACCTGCCTCTTCTCCAATACATCCTCTCTGCATCTATATAGATGGGACGCAACAATCAATGGAATTCACTACATTAAAAACTCTAAGCTACTACAAAGTTTCCTTGATTTTGTATCTTAGAAAAATATTAATGATTAAAGAGACATCCCTTCTGCTGAGTAAAACACTTAATAAATGACTCAAATCAACTTACAGACACAAATTAAATACTAAAACCAATTAAACAATAAAAACCTAAAAAACACACACAAAAGAAATCGCTTACTGCAACAAAGCATTTTCCCTTCAGACCTCTTTCATATGCAAATATACAATGAAACAAAGACTCAATTGCCACCAGTTATCAGCTGAGAACCCTACTCAGATTGAAACCTGTTTGTATCTAATGTAGATTTGGGGGGGAAACAGGCTAATTCTGGGTGTAGCACACTGCCAGCATGACAGAGTGATTAAATGCTAGTAGCAATACATACTAACCACATAAGTATCTGAAAGCTCGGCACTGAATTCAGTCAGAATAAAGTATCTGTACATTGCCTTAAATCATATCATGATGTTGATCAATCTACACCCACATACCAAACTGTAAGTTCTGGGTAGACATATAAGCATAGATTTCAAAGAAAAATATTTAGAGTTCCCTCCTGCAACATGATGCCCTCCAGGAGTTTGAGGCCCAATTCCCATCAACCCCAGCCAGCAAAACAGCATTAAGAGGCCAGGACACTAGCCCAATGAAGGACAAGCACTAAAAGACACTAAGTAATAGGACCATGCAAGACCTCAAGTGGGAGGAGGGTATCTCTCCAAGCTCTACTTCAATTCCCTTTTCAAAGCCCATTTCAACAGATTTAGATGAAAAAGGAACTGCCAGATCCATTAAATCAAGACACAATTAAAACCAAGTTCTCTTCAAAATACAATTCTAAATAAGAGTTCATTATTTTATTCATATATACATATATATTTATTGCCAAAAAAAGTGAAACAGATCCCATTGTTACTTCTCCAGAACGGCAAACTGTGTGCTTTATACAAACACAATTTTTCCCATCCAATGTTTTAACAAATCTCAGATCATAATTAATAATGTCTAGAATTGCTATTATCTACACATAATGTACAGTTATTTATGTCTAATTGACATGACTCTGAGAGTGGGACAAGTATAACTCCGATAAATATAAAAATTCTGTAGCACATGAGATTTGAGCTTGAAAATACTGCATCAGAATTTCAAACCAATATACATTTTTCTCCTTTTTGCATAATAAGTGCATGCAAAAATAGAGCTGTGAAATGGTAGAAAAATTGTTTGGAAATCCTTTTTTTTTTTTTGAAGCACTAATTAAGTACAGTACATCTTAATATGAAGACAGACTATAGAGCCACTGTTTTCCAAAACACCAGTAGCAAAAAAGTTGGCATCACTTTTGGTAAATCACTCAGCATCTCAAGATTCATTCCGCATAGTGAACTTTGTTGCTGTTTTTAAATATAGGAATAAAATATAAATCTGCATTCAAAAATATAGTTAAAATACTCAGCAAGTTGATTTCTTTGTGGGAAACTGTGTGCAACAGCAATAAAAACACTTGAATAGTGAATGTACCAAACTTACTTATTAAGATATACAGACTGATGCCATACCTGCCTTGAGTGACGAAGATCTCTTTTATTCTTCTGGGATGTTTTTAAGTGAGTGTTCAGCTCAAATAAAAATAAAGGGATTTTAGAAACAAAAATGTCTCACTATGAAGTCTTCTCTTCTGAGAGATAAGTACAGATGATTAAACAGTGCTTTCCCGGGTTGGTGACTTCCAACGAGCCTGCAGGTTTTTCATAATACAGTTTGTCATGCTATGTAGTTTCTCTTGCATTTCAAAGAGTTCACTCACTGAATAGTTGAGAAGATTTTCAGAAGTAAACTGCGGAGCAAATATATCAATCTGGGCCAAAAGGTCTGTAGTTGATTGCTCATCTGCAGTGGAGGAAACTGGCTCGCTCAAGTCTAGGAAGAAAGAAAGTTCACACATACAGAGATTTCCTATTTAGAATCAAACTAGAGCCTACTCAAATTCAACGAGGCCACAATTCTTATTTGTGCAATTACATACCATACTAACTACAGCCCTAATGGGTAGGCAATGCTAGAATGGTGTGTAACAGCCTTAATCATATAGGAGAAATTGCTTGCCCTTTTTGGACCAGCTGTGGAATGACAGCAATCACACTGCTACAGGTAATGTAGACAATGGATTTAACCTGGGAAGCAAACATACCCAGTCTGCATTCCAGTTCAGGCATCAAAACTGCACAATGGCAAGCAATATTTACCTGTTTCCATTTTATCTTCATTTGTGGAACAGGACTTCTCATCAATGCCATTCACTGGCTTTTCTACATCATCCAGGCCAGCATTTTCTTCAAATCCATGAGATCGTACCTGCACATTTGGGGGGGGGGGGAGAGATTTTATTGCAATATATTTCAATTGGAAGCAAAATTGAATACAGATGAGAAATATAATTTATAGCTAATTAATAGTATTCCTTCTTCAACAGGAGGGGGTGTCTGGTGGCCATGAGTACCAGGAAAGCTGCTGAAGTTCTGAATCAGTGTCTGGAACCAGTAATGGGTTGGATGGCTGCTAACTGTTAAAAAAAATTAATCCAGACAAAGAAGAAGTGTTTCTGCTCAGGAGAGATAAGATACTCTGCATGAGTATTATTCACTGGTCTTGCAATTCATAGGTGCTTGCGGATCCAGCATTGTGTTACGCAATGTTGTAAGTCAAGCAGAATGTATTGTGTGGAGCAAAGTATTTTAGAATACACTTTATCTCTCTCTTTGTATAATACCATATCCCTCTTATATCTGCCATCTTTGTTACCACCCATGTTGTCTTTGATTTCCCAGTTATGTATTTTGGAATACTACTGCAGTTCATAGTTTGTTTTAGCTGCTCTTACTCACCCTGAGTATTGCATATGCAACATAAAGGTGGGATAGAATGTTTTGTACAAAAAATAAAAGCAGAACTACCTTGCAACTATAAGCTTACATTTTAAAAAACGTAGCTGTACATTTTTGGAGAGGAACCCCCAAACGACTAAACAAAAACCTACATTCATTGAGTTCCAGGACATATGAAAGATTGAGGGCAGTTGAGTCCAGTTCAAGATTTTTAAATTAAGGAAGGGGAAGAAGTGGGACATTGACTTGCTGAAGTGTGACAGCTTTAGCATGGAGAGGGAAGGGAAGCAGGTAAGGGAAATGTGTTCCACAAGGTGTTTTATTACCTCCCATCCCCATGCTATGTGGGGTTTCTTCATGAAGGCGAGGAAGCTGACACCTTGCTCCTTTTACACTCTCTATAATCTTTCCTGTTTCTGCTGCATAGCAGTAAAGTCCTCAAGTACTAGAGCCTGGAAGTCAACTCTAAACCAGAGCCTAAGTGCTCTATAATACAGTGATTTCAGGAGGATAGGAAACAAGAATACATATCTTTGTAGATATTATTCCATTTCCCAGCAAATGCAAAGCAAGAAGAGCAGTAGTAACAGAGCAGTCTTCCCTTTCACCCGCTAAACTCAAACAAGGCTCAAAGTTCCACACTGGTAAAGCCCTGGACAGAAGCTCTCCTGTTATGAATAGTGGATACATGGCAACATCTTGTTGTGTGATCAGACTTGCTCTTTTTATTTTAATTTCAAATAGTAGTGATGATGATGATGATTTAAATCTGTATACTGCCCTATACCCGTAGATCTCAGAAAAGATCTCAACATAAAACTGCAATATAAACAATACAAAATAATGCCTCTTGGACTAAGTGTTCTGCAAAAAAGATTTCTGATACAAAAACAAGCCCACATTTCAGATTTTACTTATTTTATTATAATGCAAAGAAACTAACCTGTTGGTCATGGTATCCTTTAAGAGCTCTTTTAACATTGGATACTTTGGGAGAACGAATGGGAAGAGTTTTGATCTCGGCTGATGTCAGAGAACTCAAGTCACCTACAGTCCTGATGTTCTTTGCTCGAATGAGTTGTCCTAATCCCCTTGCCCTTAGCCAAATCAAAGGGAGAAGTGTTAGTCCCCCCACCTCTTCTTACGTAACATTCTATGGACAAGGTAAGAAAGACAACCACATTAAAATGCTTATCTTTGAAATACAAAAGGACTCTTTTCAAAAATCATTTTTCTACTTTAACACAGGATTTCTACAATTAAGTTACCCAATATCTAGTCTATGTATATGCAACTCTTCTACTTTCAAAGTGCGTGCATAAATCCTTTATTCAGAAGCTTGGGTGGCTGTGTGGGGAATTTGCTGGAAGAAAGGTGGGACAGGCACTTGAGCCCCACCCCCAATTTCTCTGCATGCAACAGCTCTACTTCTGAAATTTGTATGTCAAGAAACACTGTGTGAAGGTAGACATGTTCTGGTGAGAATAAGGAAGACATTTGGTTTGTCACTCCATCAACAGGAGACAGGGCCAGCTTGCAGTTTAACTCCTCTGCTAGGGAGGAGGTCTCAATCTCCCAGACCAAACTGGAACTTCCTCCAGCTATGCGCACCAAAGTTTAAAAAACAACCCACCTATCACACTTAGCGGGTGGCCAGATTAAAAAAAAAAAACTCTTTAGCAAAGTGAGATCAAACAAAGCATTGGGACTTTCTAGGAATCCCTAGCTCCCTTCCTTGTATCATTCATAAGAATAAGTCGACATCATGAGGTGCTGGAAGCATTCGCTTCCAATCTTGCAGCGGATGACTACTGCTTATCTTCAAAGGCCCATTTCAGCTGCAGTGGTTGCTATGAGGAAGAGAAGGAAGTTTGCGCCCAGGACTGCCCTACCTCATCCGCCATCCGCATGTCTTCCAAATTCCTAACCAAGATGAGTGTCTAGTAGGCCAGAGTGGGATGGGGGCAAGGAAACAAAACATAACACAAAAAGGAGAGAACAGCATTGTGTTGGTAGCTTTAAGTGAGCAGCGCAGAGCCTTAAACAGCTCAGGAACACAATACCTCAAAGACTGCTTCTCCTTGTATAAACCGACCCAGATCCTGCAATCATCACCTGAGGCCCTTCTTCATGTGCCCCCTCCATTAGAGGCCTGGAGGGTGGCAACATGAGAATGGGCCTTTTCAGCAATGGCTCGTTTATCAAATGCTCTCTCCAGAGATGCTTGCTTGGCACATCCATTACATATCTTTAGGCACTGGACAAAAATATTCCTCTTCTCCTAGGCCTTTGGGTTATACAATCTATGCCCTTTTAAATTGTGCACACAGTGGGAGGTGTTTTTGTTGTTGTTACTATGTTATGTACCGTATTTTTCCGTGTATAATATGCCCCCATGTATAAGACGACCCCTACATTTTAAACCCAAAATTAAGAAATTAAGTTGTTTAGCTTTTATGGGGGGTAGGGGAGGTCACTTCCGCCAATCGCTCACCCACCTGCCTGCCACTGACGATCACACACCTCGCCACAGCCACCAATTGTCTGCCCGCTCGCTGCCATCAACAGCCCACCCGCCCACTTGCTGCAGCCGCCAATCACCTGCCTATTGCTGCAAGCACAACCAATCGCCAGCAGGCCTTGCCGAAGCCACCAATCACCTGCCCGATCGCCGCTGCAAATCTCCTGCTTGCTGCTGCAATTAATCGCACGTCCCCCCTCTGCATTCACACCCAATTCCCCCCCCCTTTTTAGCAAAAAGCATTGTCTTATACACAGAAAAATGTGGTATTTTTCTGCTTTTATATTGCAAATCACACTCTGATCCTTGGATGAAAGGAGGTATAGAAATTAATTAATTAAAATAATTGCACCTTGAAGATACTCTTTCCTTCCCCCATACGCCCCAAGCAGTCTTCTTTGTCAAGAATACTTCAACATTTGACACAGGAATCTTTCCCAGTGACTTCCTACTTACCAAATATTTGAAGTAATCTGAGGCAAAATTGTGTCGACAGGCGCTTTACAGCCCACTAATGCAGGATATATGCATTCTGTAGGACTTGGTAGCGGCTCCTTGACCATTTCTGTGATCTTAAATAATACAGAAAATTATTAATTTGGCTAAGTTTAAAAGCTGAATACAGGAGAAAATGGAGAAGATATACATAAAGCCGAAGCAAATCTTACTAAACACTTCTTTGAGCTCTTATATTTATGGCTACGAGATCCTGGGGACAGAGATCCTTTGGTTGGAGTAGTAATAAGCTGGATAGGAAAAGAGGAAAAAAGCTCTCTCAGGATCATAGGAATTACCTAACACCTTATGACTAGTCTTATTAAAATCTTTTGCCTAAAATGGGACAAAAGCTAGTGCAAAGGAATGGATCATACTACTATCGACAGCCAATACTTCTTCAGTAAACTAAATTAGTGAACCACATTTAAGAGAATGGCATCTTACCTTGCCATTTTTACTTCCCTGAATGTAGAGCCGAAAATAATCATATAATCATGTACACAAGTGGGTGGTTCCCCACCAGCAGCAGATGTCACATCACATACTGCTCTGGAAGGTCCACTGACCTACAGGAGTGGTTTATGGTGGGGTGCAAACAGCTAAATTAGGATGGACAGAGGAGCAGAAAAGGCTTTCTACTTGTGCACAGAGATCTCCAAATCCAAGCCTCAACTCTTTTGTATGATTATAAGCAGCTTAGTTTATTGCAATGTTCTTCAATGTCGCAGAGATCATTCTCTCACTAAAAATAAAATAAGAGAATTCCAGGTATTACCTTGGCTTGGTGGTTAGGTGAAGATTTAATACTTCGGAAAGACTGAGAACCATTGGAAGAATGGGTTCTAACCACAGGACTTCGCCTGTCAATGTCATCTGCCAATTCTTCCTGGTAGATTGGATTGGCAAAGGAAACTCGTCGGCTCTGTTCATAGAGATTCAATGGATTTTTAAGAACAAGGTCTTATACAATAAAGATATACCAAAGCCACAAAGTGTTGACTGATTCTCAAGGGAAATTGATTTTTTTCTGCAAAGTAGCTAGCATTCATATATTTTTAAAACAAGACTGACAAACTTGATATAGAAAGAAGCATTACGTCAGTACAGCTGATTTAGACCCATACAATATACCATAAGAGGTCCTCAAAGTGTGCCCAAGTGCACATCCTTAACAAAAGGGGGGAAATCCCTAAAGCAAAAATAAGTTCTACTAGTCGTGACTAGGAAAAGGGAGTGAGCCTGCAATGGCAAGTGACATAATTTTAACATAGCAGACTTGAGTTGCAATGCAATGCTTTGCATGAGTTTCCACTCTATAGCTCAGTAGACATATATAGGATATACTGTAAGAAACTTTGGACAACTGTCTACGTCTGGGTAACACAGGAGACATGTGGCTCCCTAAAAAGAATAAATTATGCATTTCTCATGTTCAGATCTGGTTGTGAACTATACTACACTTTTGAGACCTACTGATCTAATTAATCTCTGGTTTGAATGAGATAAACTGGCAGATTTCAGCAATATTTGAGATATTTCACATTGGTGAGTGCAGTGACTACTAATTAAATAAAACTATTATTTATTAATCACCTGCCACACATGTCTCAGGGCAATGTACAAAATACCATGAAAACACAACACACACAAAATCAGATAAATGCAGTATAAAGTAGGCAGGTACCTATTGATAGCCTGAAAGCAGAACCTGAACAATTTTGTTCGTAGGAATGAAAAACTGCAGTACGAATCAATCCAGAAGCCTGACTGTGGAGCAAATGATGATAAACATCAAAGGCTAGTAGATGGTTTTAAATGATACACGGAGTGAGGCATCAGTAGAAACAGTGTGCAACACTGATTAAGAATGGTCACAATTCAAGGCACAGTGTGTGGGAGCTGGGCATTTTGGAATACAGGATATTCCGTATTCTAAGTTGCACCACTGAGTTTACAGATGTTGCTGTAACAGATGCCCAGGTTTCTAGGTAAGTTAGATACATTATGTTAAGATAAGCAGCTTAATCTCTTACAAGCAAAAAAGAAGCTTCTGAATTGACAAAAGACATTTCCTCCACAAAAATTTAAAAGGCTACTACTAAAATGAGGCTGCATTTTAAATTGTATTTTTAACCCGTATTTTAATTAACTGTTTTTTCTTTTTCTATTACGTTTTATTGTAATTTTATTGGTGTTAGCCGCCCTGAGCCCAGTTCTGGCCGGGGAGGGCGGGGTATAAAAGGGAAAAAAAATATTTAAGCCTTAAAAGGGAGGGAGATATGAAAAAATCATGGAGATTTTGTAGGCTTTAGCTCTTATTAAGGAAGAAATGGATACTGAACTGTATAAAGGATATAGATCCAATACAGAGATATTCACATATAAATTTACAAAAGCCACTTCAAGTACCTTGTTTGCAGGTGATGGAGAATCTTCTTCTTTTTGTCTTTTTACACCTCTCTTTAAAATGCTGGTAGAGGGAGAAGCTGATGGAGACCAAATACAGCGTGCCTGCACTCCATTAGGGCTTTCACTAATCTTGGCTACAGAAAGAGCATAAATTTCCTGAAACTTTAGAGGGGAATCTGAGCTATTTTCCTTCTGTACCAAGGCTGAGATTTCATGTTCTACTGATCTGCTGGCTATATCGCTTTCTGCATCCTGTTCTTGAAGTTCTGGTACCTCTGTTACAGATACTGGTGTCTTGTCTACAACATTCTGAACGATGTCAGCTTTTGTTTCGCTGGCCTTTATTTCTTCAGGTTGGTTCACACTCATCTCTACGTCAGTCCTACCTTCTGGATGACCATTTTGATTACTATCTCCCGTTATTACAGCACCTGGGTCCGTGTCTGCTTTTAAGGATGGACACTGAACAATGTGTTCTACTGAATCAGAGTCTACTGAACTTGGTTCTGAAGTTGCTTCAGCCAAGCTAACACAATCCAGATTTTCTGCAACGGATGTGTCACTCTCATCTTTGACACGGGATGATTTCTTGAGTTCCTCTTTTGGAGTGTCACCTCCTAGCAAATCCTCTTCAGATCGGATACCCTCATGTGAATCTTTCAGGGCAGAGGAATTGCTAATGGAGGACAGTGGTGTGCTCGCTGCACAAGGTTCCATATTGAGCCTTTCAGCAAACTGAGAATCAGCCGCAGCAGGAATGCTTGGCAAAGCCATTGTTGATTTATTAGCCATCTTTTTAGACTCTTTTAACTTTAGTTCTGGGGTACCTTCTTTTTTTGGGCTACCTTCTTTTTTTGGGCTACCTTCTTTTTTTGGGCTACCTTCTTTTTTTATTTCAGTGATAGACTTTCCCAACAGTGGAGATGGCTTCTCACCACAGCAGTTACAGCTCTTTGATTTCCTTGTCCGCTTGCTTCTTTTGTGCTGACATTCACTTGTCTCTGAAGACTTCTCAGGTGAAGAAGAGACACTGATAGCAGCAGTATAAGCACCACTTTCCAAACCTTTGGCAGGGGAATCAGAACATTTATCCATAACTGTCGTTCTCTGCCTGCTTTCCAGAGCTGACTCTGAAGTGGAGCGTGTCAGCATTCTGGCAGCAGTTCTCTCTGTATCTGAAGAGTCTCTACAAAGGGAAGTGTCCATATCTTGCTCAAGTCCTGAACATTCACTAAGTGGGAGGGTAGTTCTCTCTCTCTCTTGACCAGTAACACCAGACAGTAGTGCTATTTCCATGTGTTCATCAGAATGCATTACATCTTTATTTTCTGGTGGCATGGTCTGGATTTCTGTTGCAGGTTTTGCATGAAACTCTTGGCTTTCTAGCACTTCCTTCACCTGGCTTTCAATTGAACTGCTTTCAAGTGAACTACTTTTATTTTTCGATCTTCCTAACCTTTTCCTCTTGGTTCCTTCTTCTCTTGTTTCAGAACTATCAGACTCAGAGTTTTCTATACTGGTAAGTAATCCCTGTGAGGTTCTTCTTGTCTGATACCGTGGAAACCCTTTAGGTTTCTCACCAGTTGTTTCTGGAACAGAATCTTGCAAGTCACTGATGTCAGATGATTGACTTCCTTCAGATTTTTCATTAGTTATGCTAGTTTCCTCTTGGATAGTTCTTGAAACATGGGAGTCCTTCAAGATCGTACCTTCTGCAGTCCTGCTCCCATGTACATTGATTTCTTTCTTTATACTTCCTTGTGCATCTATTGTTTTATCAGGAACAGATTTTTGCTTTTGTGCAGAAGCCTCTTTACTTTGTGAAATCTTCTTTGGCAGAACCTTTTCACCATCTTTACGCCCATCTTTTTTCTGTTGACTGTTCTCTTTGTCTGGACTACCTGAAGCTCCTTCTGCAGTTTCTGGTTTTCGTCTTAAAGAACGTCTTAACGGTTTTGGATGAGGTGAAACTTGTGGACTTTGGCCAACATTAGATATTGTAGCTGCTGCTAAAGTCAGCTCTGGAGGGGTATTCTCTTTAGAATCTAAGTTTGCTCCTGCTTTGGTCTCTGCAACATTGTCCAAAATTTGTTTATTTTCTATTGTACATCCTACTGCATTCAACTCAGAAACTTGAGAAGGGATGTCTAGCAAATATTCTGGTTCTTGTATTTCACCAGGCAATTCACACTTATCTTCTACAAGCTTGGCAGGAGACTCTTGCATATTTTTCTCCTGTTGCAACTGTGATATCTTTGATTTTTCTTCTTCTGAATTATCTGTTTTATTTTGCCTAAGGCTTGACTTTTTAATCCCAAGTGTACTTTCAGGTTGCAATTTTGAATTAGCCTTATTTTCATCTTTCAATCTTTTGACTTTGACATAAGTCTCCAGTGCACCTAAGATTTCTAGGTTTGACCTTTTAGGTCTGGGGGTGGCTTTTTCCACTTTGTGTTTGAAGGTGTTATTATTCTCCACATCTGGAATTCCTTTGAAAGAAGCATCTGAAGCAATCATGCATTCCTGTTTGGCTAATAAAGGAGTACTTGCAGATGTTCCAGACACAGTGAAAGTTGTAGGACTGAATGGTCTGTTTTCTGAACTATTAAATTTTTCCAGTGTTATGAAAGACTGTCTTCTGCTTACAGGCTGTGGGGTTCCTGAAATGACATCACTAGAGGCAGAACTGCAGCTGCTGACATTAGAGGTACAGTCATTTAGAGAACAATCCAATACTGAAGTCTCCCCTGGAACTGATTTAGGAGCACATGTTTCCAATTTCTCACAATTTGGATCTAAGCTCTGTTTGCCAGAAGTGGTAAGCTGTTCAGCGTTGATGGAATTATTGTTCTCTGGAAGTACATCTGCCTTCCCACTTTCAGTTCCTTCATGGGCAGTGCCAAGCAAGTCACTTGCTGCTTTTTCATCCTGCATTGAAAATAGCTTAGTGTCATTATACATTTTTTGACTATACTGGCTACTTCACATCCCACCTTTCCTCGAAACTCAAGGCATTATTATGTGCCAGTTCTAGGCATTCATACAGCCAGATCTATTTAACTACAGCAAAGTTACTACATCATGCACTTTCAGGTCATATCCTTGTCCAACAGTTATCGTAAAGAAACAAAAGAAAGAAAGAAAAAGTCTTATCACTAAATCACTTTGGATACTTTTCCTGTTATTTTACCAAAATTGCAAGCATTACAATTTAATTGTGTTTTTTGCAATTCCAGAATTTGTTCCAGGTAAGAACATGCAGGAAAATCCAGCAAAACATGTGCAGGGGGAGGGGTTGACAGTTCCAATTATTCACTAAAACAGTTTAGTTTGCTAGCTTCAAAAATCTAGTCATTTGTTCCAACTAGAAATTGGTGACAGCGTTCAAGTATAGACTATGCACTTTCTATAATGGAAGGCCTGAAGCCATTAGCAGAAGCAACCCATACATCCCAAGGCACCATGGCAGGGTGCAGATAGGCTTATGCCTTCACTCAAAAAGGAAGTAAAAGCCATCCAATGTACTTCAATAATGTTTCAGATGTCAATATAAACCTTTTTGTGGTTGTTAGTTTGACACTTGGTAAGGATATGTGTCAGCAGCTACATGTGCTTTACTCCAGCTATACACTACATCCCTTTCCCTATAAGTCCTTTATAAAGATTTTTTTAAAAAAAATACCATTACTATCAATTCCCAGCAACTGTCAACATATGAAGATACCTGGAGCATTGTTTTGTTCTCTTCCTTTTCAGATTCTTCCTTCATATCCACAGAGGCTGGCTTATCCCTAAAATAAAGGTGACTTACTTAGATGCACGGAAAACTCAAACATTTTACATTTCAAAGCACTGTTGGTCCCTAATACTTACGGATAATTTTCCTGGCTCTGTGTATATTGGGAAAACAAGGTAGTATCTTGGGATGCATCAAGATTATTGTACATTGTAGGAATATCAATCCTGCAAAAAATAGAAATGGTCAACATTCCAATAAAATGAGTAGTCCTAATACATTTGATAAAGAATGGCATTTTAAGCTAGCAACTGTTCAAATTTGAAGGCTTACTCTAGGGCCTGTGTAGGAACCATTCTACCCAGGGGTTGCAATAAGCTCCCTTATTGGTTAGTGAACCTAGCTGGGCAGAGGAAGTGGGACCAACTTGGAAGCTCTTCTTCTGCCAGCTCTTGGCAATGAAGATGAGCTACCTAGAAAGTTTCAGACCTGGTGGCACACAGAAAATGTGCATTTCTTCACTCTTAAGTTACTAAGTTACAAACCTTTTAGTTCTTAGCACTTCTTTTTGGTGCTCTGTCAACACTCTCTCTTTTGTTTCTGGAGGAATAAACACGAAGTCAACAGTATTTTCCTCTTCCAGGAGCAAGTTTTTTCGATTTGTCTTTGTCAGCGAGTTTTCTAGTTTCATCTGCTGCATGAGAAAAAATAAAAATAAAGAGTGTAGATAATTTGCTGCTTATGAACACTAACAGTACATATTAGACAATGCTGTAAACCTTGAGCTGTGGCTGAGTGAAAATGGTTTCTGTTCACATCTGGGGAGACAAATGGATTCTGTCTATAATCAGTTGCAAATTCCACCGCAATCTTCAAGTGAGCCCCATACCTACATGATTCAGCTCTCCTTATCAACAAGAAAAATAACTGATGCTTAGAATAGAAAAAACTGGGTATTATTACTGGAGATGTAAGTGCCAATAAGAAACAATTTCATTTAATGAACTGATGTCTTACCTTTGCAGGTGTTACGGGGGAATTAATACTTTTCTGCTTTAGTTCACTGGTCTGTGCCAGCAAGGAGTCTCTTTTCCCACTAGGATTTACTTCTATTCCACTAATCTTTGCATCCCACTGGGAATTCTCTGTTTGCTGTAACAAAATTAAAATTTAATAAGAGTTATTATAATACCTTAATTGAGTTCTTACTGTAGTTCTTACTATTAAACTACAATTTAATAAGAGTAATGTACTATTACCACAGAATGGCTGGGCTCACCCAGTCAGATGGGTGGCATATAAATAAAGTTATTATTATTATTTCTTAATAGTAATAATTACAGTAAGAACACAATTAAGTGAACTATCAGTTGCTTTTTAATGAAAAGTAACTCAAAGTGACTTACAAAAATAGCACATAACTGAAGAACAATATGAAACTAAAACAAAGTGAAAGCTAAAAACTAGAAGGGCAGGACTAAGAAAGCCCATCACTGAATGAGGCCAAAGGTAATTAAAGGCCAAAGGTTTGGTGGAAAAGTAATGTTATTGCTTGCCACGTTGAGAGCATTTCATAAATGGGGACCCACCACTGTGGGGGCCTGTTCTCATGCCAACACCCTCTGCATCTCCCTTGGAGGGACACAGAGAAAAGTCTCAGATAAACGAAGTTCATGTGGGAAGAAGAGGTCCTAGTTTCACCAATTCAGATTGTCAGAAGTGCTATCAACTAAGTTTCTCCTCAGATTTATCTGCAACTACCTTTAATAAACAAAAAAACCCCACCACACTCCTACTTTAGCAATTGTAAACTGAATGAAGGTGTGCATTTTGACCTATTTACTCAGAAAAATAAAAAGGTTTACTACAACTAATGCCAAACCCTAATACTTACAGAATCAGAGCATGTCCCGTTACATTCTCCCACTATGTCCGTGTTTTCAAAGCCAGGCAACGAGAGTAAATTTTTTTGCTTGGCTTGGCACAAAACACATCTGCAGGGAAGCAATCATGAAAGTTGCATTTAAAATCTTTGAATCTGATATTCAGACTTCGAACAATTAGTTTTTGGCACCATGTTTACACTTGAAAACTTATAAGCAAAGATTGAAGCTTTGGGTTGCTAGCTACAATGCATTTTCAAGATGATGCAGCTTGGTATTCTATATCCAAACCCAAACACTATGCAAAACTTTCACCTGTTTTGATTGTCTGTATATGAAGTCTATACTAGTTTATTGTGTGAAACGCCAAGCGAATTATGAAGTTCTGGAGGACAAGCAATACTATTACTTTGCTTCCGTTGTACAAGTTACTTCATTAATCCCAAATCAGAAGTAATTAACAGTCAGTCAACATCAACCTTTCCCCAACCAAAAAGAACCACTAGAAGGAACCTGGTATTTATTAGCTTGACCAGAGGAGTGATAGAAAAAAGGAGAAAGCAGTTCTAGTCAAAAAGTTCCATTCGAAGCTGCTGTTGTCCTTACATGAAATTTTGTACAGGAAGGCCTACACAAGAGGCAGGGTTAAGCCACCCTTTCCTCTACCCATTCTTCTGCTCAGCTATGCAGCGTCTAAAGCAGGCTTCCTCAACCTCGGCCCTCCAGATGTTTTTGGCCTACAACTCCCATGATCCCAGCTAGCAGGACCAGTGGTCAGGGATGATAGGAATTGTAGTCTCAAAACATCTGGAGGGCCAAGGTTGAGGAAGCATGGTCTAAAGAGTTCTTTTGGTTTTTAATTAAAGGTACTGTCATAGTGACACAACTCCACATCAGGACAGTTATGATATAGTTGCTTTCATATGCATTTACCATTTTTCAAGTTCCCCCAACAAAATACTTCCAATAGAAGTGCTTCATGTTTAGCAGACTGGAAAATGGATAAGAATGCTTTTAAGATTGGCCAGGAGCTGGGATGGAGGCTCTACACAAGTAAATGAGTTTGTGCACAAGTCTATAGGTATATCACAAGCTACAAAATTCTTACTTTAATTCTTCTGGGTACGTCAGCACTACAGCTTTACCAAATGTTGCATTCCAGAACTGAGCCGCTTGACTACGTAGCTGTTTATTCTTGTGCAAAAGCATTATGCACAGCAATGGAGAAAGCTCTTGCAGCAGCTCACTGTCAAAGGATCCAGCATAGGAAGACTGAAAACAATTAATACTTTCTGCCAATAACTTTTCAAACTGGAAAATAGAATAAAAAAATGTATCAAAAAGGTTATAGCTGCAAAAGGTGTTAACAGCAGATAATGGGCTAAGCATTGTCTACTTAGTTACAATGTAAAACTTAAAACAAGAAGGCCAATAATATAAGGAAGTTCTTGGAACGCTGTTTACAACCCCGGAGCCCTATCCTCTAGGCTAGATGGCATAGGAGATCATGGCAAAATCCCACACTAGACCCAAATAATACACAATGAAGCAATTATTTACTACAAGTTTTTTCCCCTCCCCAAACTCCATGCATGGATTAGGTAATTCCTTGCCTGGGTTTAATCATGCAACACCCACATAATTATAAGGAACTAGGGAAGTCTGTGGTAGCACAACAGAGATGCTGGTACAACACACACATCCATTATACACTATGTGCAAGGGCAGCTCCTTTTATGGAATTATGCTATTAGGCTGCATGGTATTAAAAAATGTATTCAAGAGACAGAAAAGCTTCACACCACCCCCAGTCCAAATTACCTTGTTGTTGAGCCCATTGGTCATTTTAGATGCATTAGTGGACCTGATGGGGGAAAGGAGATAACTGATGAGTATTCATATAAGGAATAACCTCTGCTTCTTTATTTCTTTTATTTACTGGTTACAGCATTCATATCCCCTTAGCCAAAAAAAGCTCTGGGAGTAGCTTATTTTTATAGTTTACAATTGTGGCAAAGTGTTTTCAATAATGTTTTTAAAGCTGTGACCTGCCCTTTATGCTAAGATGAAGGGCAATCAATCAATCAATCAATAGCAGGAGGAAGCTCAATATAGCAAAAAATTCAAAAACTGGATAGTATTGTAATTTTATCATAACCATAACATTTATACACATTTAAAGAAACACACCATTTTTGGACACATCAAATAGCCAACCAAATCAAGGCTGCCAAGAGTGACTTTTCAGTAAGCAGTTGATTCTAGCCTCCTGTAGCTTTTAGGGCTATCACCCAATTAAGCAACTCTCAGTTTGATCAATGAGCTTCGGCTGACTGACCAAACTTGTATATTGATAGAAAGGTAACTCTGAAGCAAGTGGTGTACTTTCCTATTTTTGGATGAAGCACACATCTCTTAAGGAGGCATCCTTTTTTTAAAAAAAGTATCCCTCCCCCTTCTGTGTCATAGGAAATGACATCTCTTAAAACTGTGTGCTCTCTGCAGTTTATACTTGTGTTAAATATATTTTTAAAAACAGTTGTAAAAGTAAAATTTAAAATTAATAAATCTGATTACAGATTGCAAATGGAACTTTTGCATCAAGGTGCTACGTAAGCTGCTATCCAACTCTCAATGTAGCATCAATAAAGTACCTCTGGAACACCACTGGACTAGTGGTATAGCCATGTAGGTTTCCTAAGGTATTTCAATCACATGTATGAAACAGGTTAGCCATAGTAACAAAAGCAGTATACAACTGCAAAGTCAGTACTGCATAGCTATATAGCAGAGCACTCACTTTATTTTTTCATAAAATGCTGATAACGGTTTCGCAATAGTTCTGAACAGAGGCCTGATGACTGAAGGTAGGGAGATGTGGCCAATGATATTTTGAAGAGCACCAATAACGGAAGTACTGATAGAGGTCTTTCTTTCAGGGCTGGATTCCTTGGACACAATCATCTGAAGTGAGTTTACTAGTATCACCAAAAGTTTAATTAAGGACGACAGCTTGCCAAGGGGATCTTTTTTCTTTTTGGACCAGTCTGCAGGCATCTGTGGGGCTAAGGATCAGTATGTTAAGTTGGCAACATTTATTTTAGCAAATAAGGTAGTTTATATTAAAGTTAAGGTTTAAATAGCAAGGACCATCACACCTGCATCTATTTATAAATACCATTCCTCCTTTCCCTTTCCCTTGGAACATGCTGAATATTGAGTGTGTTATTCAATACTACAGCTATATTCCTTGTACAGGGTTAAGAGTTCATTTGGAGATCGTGTACTCCCTTCCCTTTTCTGTTCCCATATTTTAAATTCTAGAACATGAAGTAGCTGTAATTAACATCACAGCAGATGATTAAGGGCAATGGGATAGGATGAAGGAATCTTCAGAGGAGGGAAACGTACATGTGATCCTAATGGCCTGCTCACCTCTTAACCATGTGCAACAGCCCTTCCAAAAGAGGAGGGCAATACAGCAATAAAGCCTATTCTCCCATGTAAGGGAATGGTGCACACACATACACCCCAGGGACTCCTGGCAAGTTTCAAGACCCCCCACTCCACACGTACCCTGCCTCCCATCATAACAAGCATTTTACTTAAAGTATTTAATAGCACAGCTGAAGAACTTAATCCAGACTAACTTTAAAAGTAGTTCACTGCACTGCTGACTTCAGTAGAGGCTTCAGAATTTATGTCAAACTGCCAAACAACTTGTGTCTATACAACTTTAAGAAGCTTGTTACTAGAAGTCTGAGAACAGCTCTTAATCAACACAATCAATTCAACTGTCAAAACAGTAAACTGACCAAACATGTACAGCAACTCAGCAGCTCCCTGTTTCATAATACAGGAAGCCTGGATACATTTGAAATCAATATTATGAATGCCAATTCTTACATAGCCTAAGAAAACAACACTCAAGCACAAGAAGAAGGCAGCAGGAATAAGGAAACCCCAACGATGCAGAAGCACCCAAAAAAAACTTTAGAAAAAAAACACTGAGGGGGGGAAATCCTGAAACACTCAAATGAGGACTGAGCAGGCTCACTGGGCAAGAAAAACTGACTGACCAGGTGTGGAGGTGAGGGAAGAGAGAGGAAGTATCAGAAAATCAGGAGAAGGAACGGAATGGAATGAACCCCTCCCCAATGCAACATTTAGTTGCAGATTCCACTTATTATCCTTACATCTATTTGATGGTTGGTATTTAGTGCCATAAGGTGCAAAATTTATGCAGTCAACCATAACTGACGTGATTTGAGTGAGGCCATCCAACATGGACTGATTCTGAAAGAAAAGAAATATATTTACCACATCAGTATAGAAAGAAAGACAAGGGATAGGATTTTACATAAACACCAACCACATTTTGTATTAACAGCAGCCTATACAGTCATACCTTGGGTTACAGATGCTTCGGGTTGTGCACTGCGCCAAACCCGAAGTACCGGAACAGTTTACTTCTGGATTTTGGCGCTCGCGCATGTGCAGAACCACTAAATCGTGCATGCGCAGAACCACTAAATCGTGCATGCGCAGAAGTGCCAAATCGCAACCCGAGCGTGTGCAGACGCGGCGCTGCGGGTTGCGAACATGCCTCCTGCACAGATCACTGTACTTACAATATCTGCTTCATCTTCTAATCCAGATATTATTTTAGCACAGAGTTCTTCACAGCATAGATTATCTTCTGCTGTTGCTACCAGCAAAGCACAACGGGCAAATGCTCTATAGAGCTCTGACCAGGAACGGAGCAATGTTTTCATTGTAGGCTGTAATGAAAGAAAAGAAGCAGAGATCACAGTACTTTCTGATCTAAGATTAGTGTTACACACACTTCTTTCTTTTTTTAAAAAAAATCCAATTAGTTTCTTACCTGTGGAAATTCAGAACACGGGAATATGGTATTCACAGGGAGCAACAATGCACTGTAAAGTGCACTGAAATTATGTTCCAAAGCATCACCTTGATTTACTTCATTTGTCTAAAGGGAAAAAACAACAACTGAACTTTATACACTCAAAGAAACCTGGTTATCCTTAGCTTTGTTTTTCCAAAATATTTTTCACTTTTACTCTAGACATGCATCATCATTAAGACACATGGGAATTCTGGCTTTTTGTGCCTGACTGGATCCGAGATCATTTTACAGACACTATACTTTTAAAATGCAATTCCAGCAATGTACATTCTTTGGTATTTCCATGTATAGTCATTTAGGCAGAACCAACACACTGTACCTGGTTAATCCACTCAGTTAAGGGGTTAACTATAATACTCCACATTCTCCAGAGATGTTCCTTATTTTCCAGATACTTTGAGCTTTGGTTGACAATTGTGAATACAGACTCACTAAAAGTCAGAGGAGATGTAGGGCCAGACAAAACACATCCTACAAGTGATTCATAGTTCAAGAAAAACCTGATTTAAAAGAAAACAGAAGAAACACTCAGCAACTTCAAATTATTTAGCAACTACATCATTCAACAAAGTTGTAATAACTTTGACTTATAGATTGAGGAGGAAAAGAAAAATATTAGTTACATTTTAAAGCAGAAGATTATGGTAATCAGATCAGCCCAAATGAATTCAGATATTAGGATATATAAATACCAGGGTATAGAAAAGCTTTGCTCTTAGTACCTACCTTTCATCTTGAACGTAACATTTCAACAGATCTTCATGGAAAGAAAGCTGAATTAAAAACAATGCTGGAGTCCCCTGGCAAGGAAAAAAGCCATAATACTTAGTCAACAAGTCTGCTATGTTTGGCAATATTTCACAAACATATGGCTCTATTCTGTCTTACGTATTCTATCCCGTATAAGCTTCAACAACACCTGTTCGCTGGATTAAGCTATAGGGGTCAACAATTATGTTTCAGTTTCAAGGAACAGATCATTGCTAAATGATTCAATCCCACGATGTGATCTGTGTTCACTGTGCTCATATGCAATTACAAAGTGTGACTGGAAAGTTCGGTGAATGGTCACAGAAATCAGACAGCGAGAAAGATTTGAACATACAATCAGCATCGGAAACCCACAAAATGCTCACAATTGTGTATGGAGATGAAGCTGTAACTCGAAAGACAGTGTATGAGTAGTTTAAGCATTTCTGTGAAGGGCAGCAAACCATCGAAGATGACCCTGTCTGGCAGACCATCAACGAGCAGAACAGGAGCAAATGTCGAGAGAGTTTGTGAGTTATTGATGTGGAATCAGTGTTCGTCCATCTGAATGATGGCGGAAGAATTGCATATTCTGCGTGAAATCATTACTGGTGTTACTGAGTTGTCCCACCCTCCATATTCTCCAGATCTGGCCCCACCGGATTTCTTTTTCCAAAACTGAAACTGACTGAAAGCGCACAGGTTTTCCAACATTTCACACATCCAAGCTGCTGTGACGAGGGAACTGAAAGCAGTACGAAAAGTGGACTACTCCAGAAGTTTCCAACAGTTCTACGAACGTTGTCAACGGTGCGTTGTATCAGAGGGGGCCTACTTTGAAGGCCTGCAAGGCATTCATGTTTGAATATTTCTCGCTGTCCAATTTCTGTGACCATTCACCAAACTTTCCGGTCACACCTTGTATAAGACTTTTGGAAAGAAATTTTTCAAAGAAAGCGAGCTAGTGGGAAAAACCTGAAGCCCTTAAAGGGCTATTAATCAGCTATAACAATCTATTTATGATCTCTGATCTCAGAAATGCTACACTTGATGCTACAATCAGATACACATTCAGCTTATGATTAAGAAACTGGTATATTCAAGGGACGCGGACACAGAGACTAGGGCTTGCCAATCAGAAGGTCGGTGGTTCGAATCCCCGCCACGGGGTGAGCTCCCGTTGCTCGGTCCCTGCCCACCTAACAGTTCGAAAGCACGTCAAAGTGCAAGTAGATAAACAGGTACCACTCCGGCAGGAAAGTAAACGGCGTTTCTGTGCGCTGCTCTGGTCCGCCCGAAGCGGCTTAGTCATGCTGGCCACTTGAACCGGAAGCTGTACGCTGGCTCCCTCGGCCAATAAAGCAAGATGAGTGCGCAACCCCACAGTCATCCGCGACTGGACCTAACAGTCAGGGGTACCTTTACCTTTTTTATATTCAAGGCATATTGTATTTTGTTGCGCCCTAGAAATGTCAATATCTCTCTTTCCAGCTTTTCTTACTAATAGAACCTTGGTGATCTTAGGCTAAAATAGTTAATGTTTTAAACAGGGAGCCCTCCATGCGACTCCTGCCAATATTTTCTGGTATGGTCACTACTCAAAGAAAAGGAGTCAGGCTCCTTATATACTATGCTGTAGTATATATAAATACTCAGAAACATTTCTAGCTAAAGCATACACGCGTCTTACTAGTTATGCTTTGTCAAGAGAACAAAGGTCATCTGCCTATTATATATTGTACAAGTGACATGATGGGTAGGATAAGCTTTATACACACACAAAGCCCACTTACATTAAGAAGATCCATGTCAGCAACCTGATAGGCTGGGGATCCTAGTACTTTTGGAGGCAGTTCTTTGATTGTGATTTCTATCAGGGACTAAAGGAGGAAACGAAACGTAGTTATTCATCTAAAATAGTTACGTAGCATGAATACTAAACCTTATCTGTAAACGTGAGAAAAAAACATTCATCTTGTTTCATGAGGTTATGGGGTACAAAGGGGAATTCAAGGATTAACAAGCAGTGATCTACAAGACTGGAAAGACCAATTCCAACGATACTTAGCTCGAAAATCCTGTGCCAACTAAGCAGCAAGCGCTGTATAGCACATTAGCTTAATGAGTATCAGCATTGGGAGCAAGCACTACTCACCAGAGCAAATGCTGACCCAAACAATGTCCAATGGGACCAGTTCAGAGATCATAATCTGTAGATATGCCGCCTCTTATCATAATTTAATAGCTATATAAACACTTATAGACTATAATAAACAACTTACCATTGACTTAAACACTGATAGTTCATTTGACACAACAATGTTTTTTAAGGCCTGAAGTAACATAGTGAGTACGTCTGAGCTTTGCCGTTCTCTCTTGCTCCCTAAAAACAAGCGAAGCAAAATTAGGCCTTGAATACAATTTGGTCTTGCAAAACCTGCAGCACTGCCCACCTTAAAGGACAGAGCTGCATTAATGCTCTTGCTGTAAGTTTTAAACTGAGTTCTGCTTTCAGGTAAATTATTGCTGTTTAGAAATAGTGGCCTAGAATTCACTTTGTTCATGTTAAATGTTCTACCAATTTGTTTAGACACAGCTGTAAGCAGAACTGAAAAACGTATTTGTTTTTCAACTCTATCATTTGTTACTCAGTTTAAGTTAGCACCAGTTCCTGGACACTGAGTGTTAGAGCCAGGTTCTTTATCCCTAGAATACTTTTACCTGGATGGTGCACTTACTTGTCCACACTCTTACTTTCCAATAATCCTCATAAGCTTTTATTATAGCGTACACCAGAACATTAATATATTCACTTACCTGATTCAATTGCCCCTTTCACAAAACGAATCATTGCCTTCCATATAGCACTTAGACTAGTATCTGCAAGACAGAGAATGAATTAAGGGCAAAATAATAACCCAATGAAGAGCTAGATAAATCAAGTTTTGACTACTGCCCATTTAGAAGAATCCTTTCTATCAACTTGCATAGCACGAAGCAATATTTTTAGGGGGGGAAGTAATCTTACCAGAAGCATCTTTTCCAACTGCAATGAAGCCATCCTGAACTGCATTTATGAATGTGCTGGCATGCTTACAGAAGAACGAAGGACTGGTGATTACTGAGTGCTGAAGAGGTTCTAAGTGGGAAGAGAAAGCACAAGTTCTATCATTCTTATCAATTGTCAGAGCAGCATAGACTTGTGTTGTAGTATTATAAGCTGCTTGAACTTTCCAAAAAATGTATAACATTACCTAAACTAAGTGCAATGTTGTTTTCTTTGGAAAACGTCAAAACTTCTGGTCCCATGAAAAAGTGAAGTAGCATTTCGATTCCTAGAAGTTGAATTGATGGAATGGCTGTAACTCCTGTACTAGAACTCAGGCTCATCCTTTGATTTGCAGGGGTTCCATTGGGGAAAGCACCTAAATAAAACCAGTAGTACATTACTTGAACCACAGAAACTTTTATATACACGAAAAAACACAAAAATGATATATAAACAAATGGTTTTTGGGGGAGGGGAGATCAAAAGACTTAACCATGGCTTCTATTTCAAAAAGAGGCTCAGACTATGCTGCTAATCTCAAAGCTTTACATGTAGTCTGAACATTTGTTTTAGAGAAGTAATTGCAAGAGCTCTTAAAGACTGTAGCCACAGAATCTTATAGTTTAATACACTGGAGATATGATCCAGATGCAACAAATGTGCAAAAAAGACAAATTATTAAGTACACATACTGAAGAACCTTTCCATATGAGGCTGTACAAACTGAAATATATCCATTACAACAGGGTAGGTGGTGCTAAGGATAACTCCATGCATATGTAACCCCATGATATTAAACACAGTATTTGAATTTTTAGATTTCAGATTTGTTGCATCTGAATCATAGTCAGAAAGAGATTTCCCTCCTACCTGATTTGTGTGCAGAGCCCTGTGTTAGTAAACTCTGGTTAATAGCTAACCGTGATGAATTTCCTTGTAGAACGGAATCTAAGCTTAGAGTGCTCTGAATCAATGGCACACAAACCTAAAAGGGAAAAAAATAGCATGAGGCACAAACAGAAGCAACTTAACAGGTTGGGGCTAAACTGCCTGAACAAACAACAGACTTACATGTAGGAATCTACTAAGTCTTTATCTAGCACTAGGATAATGTAGGTAAAATCCAGTATTGCCAGCCTCTGCACATGAATGAAAAGAAGGTTTTAATAGACTTCAGCTGTACTTGTAGTTCCATGATCGTAGTAAGTGTGCTTAAGGCTCCATAGTTTCGACAGTAAGAGGCAACAGTGATGCATTTGGGCACTAATATTAAATGCCACCCACAAACTAGTTCAGCCAGCTCAATTGAACTAAAATCAGCATAAATCCAAGTACTCTGGTTTAATGGTTTCTGTAGATCAGCTTTAATCACATATTTATTACATTTATATCCCACCTTTTCTCCAAGTAGTTCAAGGTTTACATGGCCATACTTCTTTCTGTTTTAGCCTCACAACCACCCTGTGAGGAAGGTTAGGCTGAGAAACAGTAACTGGATCATCCTGTGAACTTCATGACTGAATTGAGAGCTGAACTTTGGTCTCTTAGGTCTTATCTGTTCCTAACAACTACTCAACATATCATAACTATAAATTCTCCATTATGAAGGTAAGGGTGGTATTCAATACTAGTCCTAATCAGACTAGACCCAATGAAGTTAATGCACAAGTCAAATAAGAGAAAACAAAGCTAAGAACCTTTTGGGAAACCTGCTTTAACTAGTGTTAATATTAGCGCTAATATAAAAGATGAGATTACCTGTTCAAAGTGGGCTGGGAGATGAGGTCCCAACCTCATCAGTAAATACCACCAGACCTCTAGCTTTGTCAGTGCCAGAGCTTCTGTTCTCACGTGAATGGAACTCAGTGGTTGCATTAGCAATTTCAGCCTTTTTGCACTGCACAAGATTTCTTGGGGGAAGAAAACGAAACTTAGTTTTGTTACATGTGATTTAAAGTTAAAATCAGTTTTCAAACTCAAAAGAGGAATTGTGGCTTCAACTTCAGGTGAACTTTTTTTTCAAGACCACAACAACTTGATTATTACTTGTTTACTTATTTGTGAAATCAGAGATGCAATACAGAGGTCTGAACCTACTCACCTTTTCCAAAGTATCCAAAATCTTTGGAAGTATTTGATGGGGTTTTTTAAATTTTTTTTTTTTTTACTTATAGTCATTTCTGGATCCCTTCATTAAAAATGCAGATGAGTAGATATTTGCCAGCACACTTTTAAACTATACAGTGGTACCTCCAGTTACGACCTCAATTCGTTCCAGAGGTCCATTTGTAACCCAAAACCATTCTTAACATGAGGCGTGCTTTTGCTAATGGCGCCTCCCACTGCTGCCGCACCGCCAGCGCTCAACTTCCACTTGCATCCCAGGACAACGTTTGCAACTAGGGGCATCTACTTCCGGGTCAGTGGAGCTCGTAACTCGAGGCACTCGTAAGGAAGACGGTACGTAACACGAGGTTCCACTGTATAATAATTCTATAACACAGGGCTCCAGCTCATGGGAAAGACAGCAGGAATCTCCCTTTCAGATCTTTCCCTAATACAGTGGTACCTCAGGTTACATACGCTTCAGGTTACAGACTCTGCTAACCCAGAAATAGTACCTCGGGTTAAGAACTTTGCTTCAGGATGAGAACAGAAATCATGCTCTGGCGGCGCGGAAGCAGCAGGAGGCCCCATTAGCTAAAGAGGTCCTTCAGGTTAAGAACAGTTTCAGGTTAAGTACGGACTTCCGGAACGAATGAAGTACTTAACATTCCTAAGAATTTCACATGTATTTGTGTAGCAACTTAATTCAGCTGGGCTGGTAGAGCATAAGACTCTTAATCTTGGGGTCGTAGGTTTCAGCCCCACCTTGGGTAAAAGATCCCTGCATTACAGGGGGTTGGGCTAGATGACACTCATGGTCCCTTCCAACTCTACAATTCCATGATTCTAACTCCTGCTTTTTTTATGCATGTGAAGGTAACCTTTGGTCCCTTTTCACCAAAAAAAGCAAAAGTCTACCTGTTGGTGGCAAACTGCTGGCTGTGTTTGTTATTGATGCAGCAAGATATGTACAGCATATTCAAAAGGGCCAGACCTCACTCTCACATGCATAGAGACTAACTATTGACATGATGGGTGCCCCGAGTGCAGCATTTAACAACTCCCCACTGTTTTCACTTGCACACACAAGTTGCTACTAAGCTGAAACAGAGATCTCAAGCACCCCATTAGAATTAATTCAACTGCAATCAACAGAACTTGCTCCCAAACAGGAAGTAGATCACATGAGGGTGCACAATTATTTTCTTTTCTCTACTTCAGCATGCTAATGAAATAAGTCAAAATTGCTTAGTATTTTAGTCTACCTGGATTTAGAGCAAAGTTATCAATCAGACTCTTCCATGCAATGAAAGCTATTTTCTTTACCACCGGTGACCCACTACGAAATCCTAGTTCTTCTAATTGCAGCAATGAATTGATAAAGCTTCCGCTACGATGAAGCGCCTGGAAGAGTAAAATATTGTTTTATGCAGTTAGTGTATCCATATCATCAGCACCTACAGTAGCTGAAACAAGAGAAATCAATGTCCAACTTACTTTGCCAAGCAGCTTAACAAACAGAGGCCAAAGTTTCAAAACATATGTTTCATTTTTTGATGTGAATAGTTTTTGGAGTTCTGGGATTATTTTCTGCAAGAGTACAAACAACAACATTTATAAAAATAACCCAACACTAAATTAGTTTGTATGATTCCCCCCTCTATCTTTCCCCCCCCTCTCTCTCACTCACCCACCCACCGACCCCACTTGATGCAGCAGTGACTAACTATGGAAGAGATTTTGGGGTTGTGGTGGCTATAAAAATGTCAACTGTGTGTGCACCAGCGGTGAAAGAGCAAATTCTGTGCTAGGGAGTAATAGAAAAGGGATTGAAAATAAAGTGGAAGGTAGGTCTACTGACAGCTATTAACTAAAACAGCCAATCTTCAGAGGTGCAATGACACTGAATACTTGCTGGAGGGCGTGGGAGTGATGAGGGAGAGGGCTATCACCTTCATGCCCTGAAAATAGTAGTATTTCATATGCAATTATGACATCATAAAATATTTTTGCAAGTATATATGCAAAACTAGGAGTAGGGAGTCATATGAAGTGATCATTAGAGTGGGCAAGGCCCTTAAGCACATATGTGGAATTCTAAAAAAACATAAAACCCATCCTTTAAAAAATAAGATGTTGGCCTTCATTACCGTAGTCATAAGTTCTTCAGTGACTGCTGCCACCTCCTGCTGCTTCTGAAGTAAAAGTGGCACTCCCATCTCCAATGCAGTGGCACCTCTTAACTGCACTTTATGAGCAGAGTGGACAACCAAAGGGATAATCAGCTTCGCCCACTTTACAGCCTGTTCTTCCATGTGGGATGGAGCCTGTTCTATGAGCCTAAGTTCAGATATATTTGTCAGCATGACCAAGGTTTGTAAGAAATATTGTGTAGTTAACAGTGACTGGTCTTCTTCACCAGTGTCTATCACACTGTGTTCTGAGTAACTGGAGAGTGTCTCAAAAAGCTTCTCAAGGAGAAGATCAGTAACAGTAAGAAAAGACAGTCTGGCCACCACTACAAATCTTCCCTGTAGTGCACTGTCATTGGTGCACTCTAAGGTGCACCCCCATTTCACATGCAGGAATATGGAGGGCCTGTATGGTGATTGAACCTGCAAACCTGACATTAGCAGTGGTACGCTCTAACCAACTGAGCTAATTCTAGGGTTTCCTAGAAAGTTGGGAAGCAGATGCAGCAGAGAGCAAACCATACAAGAGAGAAATACCAACATTTACAATACTGCAACAACAGCAAATGGTATTCACCATCTACAACAATGACTTAATAGCCCTCGTGACTTGAAAAATAACCACCCAGAGTGCAAACTGTTTTCTAAGCATGTACCCTGATTTTTTATCTGACCAAGATGTTACTGAAGTGTTTTTTCTTCCTCACTTCTAACACACTTGCTCAACAATTTAACACCTGATACATACCGTATAATAACATTTAATGCTTCATATTCAACCACCATGGACTGCAAGTCTCCTTTATTCAGCACTGTTTCTAACATACCAATAATACTGGGTACCTGAAACACAAATGAGATGTGGGTGACTGAACATGTTAGTTTAACAAACTGTTATTTGTAGGAGATGGGACAGAGAACACTCACCAGCTTTCCAACAGTATCAGAAGGAAAGGACTGCTTAGAGATCACCCAAAGTGCTCTAGTGCGAGTGTTTTTGTCCACAGCCTTTATAGCAACACTGTTCACTATTGACAGCAACTCCTGTATTTCTGATTCTGTAGAAAAAGGTAAATGACATTTTTCAGTGTGGTAAAACATGGGGAAGCTTGAAAATGATACAATGGTCATGAATCGCTGTTAATGCCTAGTATCACAAACTCAGTAGGGAAGGAACTAATGCAGTCCTCACTCATTCTAAGGCACTGCTGCTTTTGTGTTCTGAAATAGGAAAGACACACATGACGATGATATAAAAGGGGTAACAGATTCTAATATTTGCAGACCCAGAACAGGGCACTGAAGAATGCTGAAACCAGAAGCCGTGTCTTCTTGCCAGACTCAGGTCGCAAAAATCTGGGCCAGAGTTACAGTCATTGAAACTTGTAGCAATTCAGTCACATTGTAACACCAGGCCAGAGAGCTAAATAACATGATATGAATAGTATTACGTACAGTACAATACCACATCTATTTTATTCTATTGATATTTACGATACTGCTGGCAGTACATCTGTAAAAAGCAGATTTGGATTATTTATTAATTTTTGAAAAAGAATAAAAAATTGTTTACCACATAGCAAAGCAGCAGTCTTTGAGTTAAACACACAGAATCCTAAGGCTTGCAAGGCTGCACTGCTCAATTCTGAATTTTCAGTAGGAATATATGTCTACAAAAAGAAGGAATAAAGTTTTAACTCATGTCGACAACACTTATTGACAAATAACTGCAATGGTTCAGAATTTTTAAATTGTGTCAATAAAAAGCAAAACAGCTACTATTTTTGGTTGCTTTAAAAAATATAGCATATGCTACACCCTCAGATACAAAAGCTAGTTTATTGGCTAACTGCTTCTCCATTCTGAGCACCAGAGTCCAGCTACATTAGACTCCAACAGTTTCCCTTCTACCATGAAGGGCCCTATTTCTTGTGCCACCAACCTAACCTGATCCATGTGAACAGCAGCTCCCAAAGCTGATCTTAACATACAGGATCTCCAAATCTTAGCATTCCATAACGCCACATAAAAGCTGCTCCTTGCCTCTTTCCTTCTCTCTCAAAAACACATGGATATATAGTTTCAGAAGCCATTTCTAACATGGCTGGTGAGCTGCTGAGGAACTCCCACTAAACGATAGAGGTCTACTTCTGACAAGGGCCTATGAACAAAATCGCCAACAGTTTACCAGGATGGATCTCTTAGCTTTGCTTAAATAGAAGAAAAACAAGACCAGCTGAATTCAGCTTTGACATTTAGTTTCAGCCATGGACAAGGGTTGTGCAGGCCTGTCAGCCGACAAACCTCACCACCACCACCTGCTGCTGCTCTGGAGGTTTTGCCAGGGTTGCCCACATGCTACTTCTGTCAACTGCTAGTCCTACCAAGTTTATTGCACATGAAGTGTAAAAAGAAATGTCGATGACAAACCTAGTATGGTAAGGAAAAGTAGTAGTCATTACCACTGGGGAGTAGCAACTACCAGGTTGGAGTGTGGGGGAGAATGTTAATAGCAGAAAGGGAAAGGCTCAGTAGCCTTTATACATGGAATGGGATACTTATTAAAAAGAGGATTTACTAAAAACCATACAATTTTAAATACACACCTTAAATATCTTGTAGAGCTGAGGGAAGAGTTTCCCAACTTCAGATGCAAATTCTTTTCCCTCTTCACCAGTCAGGCGACTTAAATGTAGAAAAACACAACAGGTTTTCTGTTACACAGCCCAACATAGACAAAAAAGCACATTTTGGCAATTACCTAAATTAAAAAGCTAAAGGCACATCTTCTGTATATATCATTTTCAAAAGCAACAGGCTGTTGCACAGAGTAAACTATGCTTGGCAAGTAAAGATACTATTGAAAACAACACAATGTCAAGGGAGTTGGCTATTACTGTTAAATTTTGGCTCAGTAATACTGCAGCACCATAACTGACAGAGCAATTTGTGCTTTTTCCTACCTCCCCATATTAATAGCCACTGCAATGCTTTTTCCAGCATCCCTCCACACTCCAGCACCACCCAAAGAAACAGAACCCAGGGAAGGCTTCTTCAGTTCTTTAAAAAGCATTATAAAAGTAAGGAAATGAAAGTTACAGTGTAATACAACAAATTCTACTCATTTCACTATTGAATGTACATAATCAAATATTTAAAAACAAAAATAAAATGTTTAAAACACACGGTGTTTGAAGACTTGATTAACAAAACAGAGTAGGGATACAACTTACATGGATTTTACTTATGCAATCACAGCTTTATGTGCTTGACCCCCAAAAATAAAAGGCATGTGAGCGACTGCTGGAAGGGGCCATCTGAGATATTGTGGGAGCCCTCTGGAGGGCTTTGAGAGCTCTTACACTCAATCAGAAAGGCAAGACATGGGGACAGTTCCAGGAGGTCATTATAACTATGAATTTTTGCTTTTATACACTACCCCCTGGAACAGAACCTTTGCACAATGCCATTACAGTATTGTAAGTCTGAGAAAAGCAAGTCTAACCACCAATTAATGTGGTGAATGTCATGTTCATTAACTCCATGATATGAAACAAACTTGCGTGGGAGCAAGAAGAATTTCATTCTGCCATTTGAAAACTACTAATCTAATCTACAAATTTCTCAACTGTTTTCAAAAAACAGAGAAATGTATTGTCACCGGTGACACAGTCTGGTAGTAAGAGCATTCTCAGAAAAATGCCAATACAACCTTAGGAACACGAGAGGCAAATAAAGGCCGATCACAGCAGCAAATTGACTCACTTACAAAAACTTGCATGCAGCCAATGCATAGATCTTAAACACAGTGAACGTCACTATGTTACTAAGTACAGCTGCTGCCAGCATAGCAGTTCGAAAGCATGCCAGTGCAAGTAGATAAATAGGTACTGCTGTGGTGAGAAGGTAAACGTCGTTTCCATGTACTCTGGCTTACATCACGGTGTTCCACTGCACCAGAAGTGGTTTAGTCATGCTGGCCACCAGGAAAGCTAGCTGTGGACAAACACCAGCTTCCTTGGCCTGAAAGCGAGATGAGCACCGCAACCCCATAGTCACCTTTGACTGGACAACCAACCGTCTAGGGTTCCTTTACATTTTACTAAGTATCACATAATGGCATGAATCCTAAATTGCTCCTCTGTTCATGCAAGTGACGGAATTGGCTTCAAGTTACAAGAAAGAAAATTTCAACTCAACATCAGGAAGAACTTTCTGGTGATAAGAGCTGTTCAATAGTGGAACAGGCTCCCTCAGAAGGTGGTGGACTCTCCATCATATGTTTAAAGCAGAGGGTGGATAGCCATCTCTACAATTCTATGAACTTCTCCCTCAAACAGCAACCTGCACACACACACACACACATTCCCCAACCCCCAGGAATAGATTGTCAAGGGAGTGTAAGGGGAGTAATTCTGCAAACTTAGCAGGGAATCTATGATCCAAGCCATTGCATTTACAGCCACTGTGAAGATGCAGAGAACTGCAAATAATGCTGATTTGGTGGCTCAGAGGTTGAAAGTGGCACATAAGATATGCTAATCTTGACAAAGCTAATCAGAAAGCAAGCTTTGTAAATGAAAACAATATATTTAAATTCACTTCTATCGTGCATCTGTTCTTCATGCTCACCCTTTGGCACACAATAGCCAACCGCTTGCATAGATAAGACTTTACTTCCTACTTATCTAAGACTCATAGAGCCAGTGTGGTGTAGTGGTTAAGAGAAGTAGACTCATAATCTAGGGCACCGGATTCGCGTCTCCGCTCCTCCACATGCAGCTGCTGGGTGACCTTGGGCTAGTCAAACTTCTCTGAAGTCTCTCAACCCCACTCACCTCACAGTTTGTTGTGGGGGAGGAAGGGAAAGGAGAATGTTAGCCGCTTTGAGACTCCTTCGGGTAGTGAAAGGCGGGATATCAAATCCAAACTCCTCTTCTTCTCAGCTAACACGGTAGGAGGATGTTTACATGCACAGACTGCATGACATACTAAATGAACTTTTAAAAAATTGTTGTAACTGAGCCAGGTGCCACCTCCCTACCCTATTCATCTATATTGGCTCTATTTCTTAATGTGAAGGAATTAAAAAGCATAATCAATGTTGAACTTATATTAAAACTGGCATATTTGGTTATATTTTGCTTGCCATTCTCATATATCAGTTTCAATGGGAGGGTGGTGGCTCAGTGATAGAGAGCACAGACTTTGCATGCAAAAGGGCCCCAGTTAAATTCTTTACACCCCCATGGAGTGCTAGAAGAGAGCCATGCCTGAAATCCTGAACTGCTGCTACCAGACAGTATAGATCATTGCCAGAATGATGGTGCTATAGATGGGGGAGCTAAACCCTAGAAATTAATACAGTCATGGGTAAAAAAGTGTACCCTCTTTGAATATCAGGACACAGGAGCAATCATTTGTTCCTTAGGTCTAAAAATTGTGTAAATACAACCTCAGATGAACAAGGCATGGCATATGGTGTACCATGTTGTAATTCATTTAACAGAAATAAAGCCAAGATGGTGAAATCATATGTGAAAAACTAAGTACACCCTTACCGATTCCATAGAAATTAAGACGCTAAGTAGCAGACAGGGGCTGCTAATCAAAATGCCCTTGCTTAATTGATCACCAGCAAGTGTGCCAACCTCTATACAGTGAGGGGGGAAAGTATTTGATCCCCTGCTAAATTTGCCTGTTTGCCCTCTGACAAAGAAATGTTCAGTCCATAATTTTAATGGTAGGTTTATTGTAGCTGTGAGAGACAGTATAACAACAAGAAAAACCCCAGAAACCCAGAAGACAAAAGTCAGAGATTGATGTGCATTATGAGTAAGAGCTTGATTTTGCTCTCATCTGACCACAACTCTTTCACCCAGTTCTCCTCTGGGTCATTCAGATGTGCACTGGCAAACTGCAGACAGGCCTGTACATGTGCTTTCTTTAGCAAGGAGACCTTGCGGGCTCTGCAAAATCTCAGTCCTTCATGGAGTAGTGTGTTACCAACCGTTTTCATGGTGACTATGGTTCCAGCTACCCTGAGGTCATTGACAAGTTCCCCCTGTGTACTTCTGGTCTGCTTCATCACCGTTCTCCTGATCATTGCAACTCCACGAGATGAGATCTTGCATGGAGCCCCAGACTGAGGGAGGTTGACAGTTATTTTGTGTTTCTTCTATTTGCGAATTACTGTATTGCATCAATTGTTGTCACCTTCAAACCAAGCTGCTTGGCAACAGTCTTGTAGCCCAGTCCAGCCTTGTGCAGGTCTACAATCTTGTCCCTGACATCCTTGGACAGCTCTTTGGTCTTGGTGGCTACTTTGGAATCTGCTGGATTGATTGCTTCTGTCGACAGGTGTCTTTTGTACAAGTACTGTAACGAGCTGGGATTACAAGTAAGACCTCTTCCTTACAGCAGGTACTTCTAATCTCAGCTCGTAACATACAGTGAAGATACCAGGTAGCCTGACATCTGGCGGGTTGATAGCTTGATTAAAAACATACTTATTTTACTCATTATAATGCACATCAATCTCTGACTTTTGTCTTCTGGGTTTCTGGGTGTTTTCCTGTTGTTATTCTGTCTTTCACAGCTACAATAAACCTACCATTAAAATTATGGACTGGTCATTTCTTCCTCAGAGGGCAAATTTAGCAGGGGATCAAATACTTTCCCCCCTCACTGTATGTAACTGTTTTAAATTTTTGTGTACTGTGTGGATAATAATATTTCTTATTATTTATACCCTGTCCATCTGGCTAGGTTTCCTCAGCCACTCTGGGCGGCTCTCAACAGAATATTAAAAATGTGATAACACATCAAACATTTAAAACTTTCCTAAAGCTATGCATTACAAAACATATGTATGTTTATTCTGTCTGATGTTCAAAACTGCCCTTTGGCCTTATATCAAAGGCCTGCAAATAAAAACAAATAAGTAAAAATGAATGAATGAATGTTTGGGTTATAAGTGGGTCTCAGGTCAGAAAAAGTTGAAGACAGCCCAAGTAGACAACTCTGAGCTAGAGGAACTCATTGTAAAGCAACTTCCTAGATACCTCAGGTAAACATGAGTAGAATCAAGACTGCACAAAGACCTGATCTATATTTTTTTTAAAGGAAAAACCACCCCCGCTAAGTACAGAAGCACACAGATACAGTAATCTAATTCTTAGACAACTGACACACACCGGTGCCTATGCGAAGCTCTCACATACTCCTTCCAGAGAAAAAGGAAACGTACTCCCCCCCCCTCCCCATAGCAACTCCAAACAGAGAGATAGAAACCCACATCACACGCCCACTTCGGGAGGGGGCTCCTCTGCCTTGTAACAGTGCAGCAGGCAAACTTCCAACATGGAAACCCTCTCTCCCTCAAATTTCCCCCTCCTTCCCATCACCCAAGCTGATTGACGGCGCGCAATCGCCGGCGCGCCCTTTTCGAAACGCTTAGGTGCGTTCGAAAGTCGTTAAAAGTCCAACCGAAATGGTTCCAAAGCACTTAAACGTTCACGGCCTCGCAGCCCCTGAGAAGTTTTGTTTGACGAAAAGGGAAGCAGACAGGCGGCAACCCCCCCCCCCGTCGCCGCCCTCGAGAGATGCCCGCCTCCTGTGGGCCAGGGAGCGAAGAGGGTCGGAGCCCTACCTAATAAAAAATAAAAAACCCGCTCTTTACGCAATAAGCATCTCTCATCCCTCAGGTGTGTGTGTGGTGGTAACAGGTACCGGGGCTAAAGCCTGGCCGCGAGATAAGACTCACCGCCCCCCCCCAGGCTTTTCCCCTCTCAGAGACCCGCCTGTCCGCAAGGCCGCAGGAGGGACCCGCCGCCCTCGCCGGACACTCACTTGGTGAGGGTCAGCAGCGCGTCCGTGAGCGCCGCCGGCGCGGCTGCGGGGTCTTCCAGGGTCTCCAGCAGGGGACGGAGGCTCCCGCTCGGGCAAGGCCCCGTCGTAGAGTCAGCGCCGCTCATGGCGCCGCCGGCAGCCTCTTCCTCGCCTCGCCAAGAGGGAGAAAGTGCGCTTCCCGCGCTCTTCGCCTTCTCTCGCTCTCCCGCACGCGCGCTCACTCACTCTCGCGCTCGCTCGCTCACTCTCTCTCCTTTTCTCGCGGGCTAAGATGGCGAAGCGCGGGACTTCTCTAGCCGCGTCACTGTTTGTGCGGAAGAAGCGGAAGCTTGCCGCCCAATCACCGGGCTCGGAGGGGGCTCGGAGGAAGTCAGAGCGCCGAGCTAGTCGAGTAGGGCGCCGCGAGGTCGAACCGCCGAGTTCATCCATCGGCCAGCTTCCCTCTGAAATGCATATGTAGACTTTCTCCCCGCTCCTTTCATACTCTGTGCTGGGATGTGTAAAAACGGACCGGGTGGTTTCGTTTGCACGGCCACGCCAGGGCCTTCTCTCTCTCTCGGAAGAAATGGGTCTGATTATATCCCAAAGGTTGGCAATGGTCCCCCAAAAAGTACTTCCTGCAATTTTTGAGCAGAAGGGAGGGGAGGTTCTACAGAAAGAACTTTTTTGGGGGAGTTCGAGGGTTGGGAGTTGCCCCTCTTGTCATTGCAAAAAAGAAAAAGAAAGAGGAATATTTACGATACCAGTATGGTGGGATATTGGTATGGGCAAATGTGCGATATTGCCCCAATGGAGAAATTAACAGAAGCAAATGAGAATACAGAAAACTCATTTTATATAAATCGGGTCTGCTCCATTATACCGGTCTCTCCATCCACTTCTGTGAGTGGATGTTGTAGGTTAAAATCTCTTCCCCACCCACTATATTATTTGGTACTATCTGTAATGAACATTTTAAAAGGATTGTCCATTAACAAGAAGAAGAGGAGTTTGGATTTGATATCCTGCTTTATCACTACCGGAAGGAGTCTCAAAGCGGCTAACATTCTCCTTTCCCTTCCTCCCCCACAACAAACAATCTGTGAGGTGAGTGGGGCTGAGAGACTTCAGAGAAGTGTGACTGGCCCAAGGTCACCCAGCAGCTGCATGTGGAGGAGCGGAGACGCGAACCCGGTTCCCCAGATTACGAGACTACCGCCCTTAACCACTACACCATACAATGCATTAATCTCTGGACCCGCCTCTGTTTTGTATCTCACTCTTCATGCTTTTGTGCTGCTGCTTCTGAATATTTTGGGTATCCAAATTGAAATACATTATTTTTTTATTTAAGAATCACAGAGTTGGTTCTTCTAAGCTTAGGTGCCCTGTGGAGACCACAATGGTCTCACTCAGGCCATATACATACTGTTGTTTACTTGCCATCCATTACACTTCCATCGCTGATTTGGGAAGCAGTGTACACACAACATTACCCACAATATGACTTTAGCCATAATCTTGTATCCTGTGTTTATTGTGTGAAATACTATGTTTTAATGAGGTTTTCCCCATACCAGCTCCATTATGTTCAATGGGATATTCCGAGTTAAGTGTGTATAGGGTTTAAAGTTGGATTTAGAATTCAAGTGTAGATGTAATATGGATTTAGCTAAGATTAAAGTTCAGTTTAAAACTGAAATCTAGATTTATCCAAGCTTAAAGTGGGTCAGACTTCTGCGCTCCCAAGGGTAACTCAAGTGACCTTTAATTATCTTTAGTACTCATAAAGCAGCCAAAGGATCTTTCATGCCCTCAAATCACCTCTAATTGTAGTCTTGGGCATTGTGTAGCAGCAGAGTCATTTGGTTGGGCTGCATAATGTTTGTTAGGCTAAGCATGCACACTTTTTTTGAAGTAAAGAGAAACATGATAGTCTTTCTATCAACTAACCTGGATATTAATTTGAGGCAGTATTTTAGAGTACAGTGGTACCTCGGGTTACATACACTTCAGGTTACAGATTCTTCAGGTTACAGACTCCGCTAACCCAGAAATAGTACGAGACTGGCTTCATTATTATCAGATAATGGAGGCATACAATTTGGACAAGAAAATTGGCTTCCAGGTGGAAAAATCAAAATTAGAAACAGAACTGTTAGAACCCAAAACTAAGATTTTGTCAAAGATGTATAACTTGCTGTTGAAATGGAATACTCACGATGAAACGGTGAAATCTGCTATGATTAAATGGGCACAAGATGATGGCTGACTGGGAACAGTTATGGACCACAGGTATGAAGTTTACGGCATGCAATGCCTTAAGAGAGAATATTATGAAAATGGTATACAGGTGGTACATGACTCCAGTCAAGCTTGCAAAAATCTATCATTTGCCTGATAATAAATGTTGGAAATGTAAAGAAACTGAAGGTACATTCTTTCACCTTTGGTGGACGTGCCCAAGGATTAAGGCTTTCTGGGAGATGATCTATAATGAATTGAAAAAGTATTTAAATATACCTTCTTGAAGAAACCAGAGGCCTTTCTCCTGGGCATAGTCGGCCAATTGGTGCCAAAGAAGGATAGAACTTTTTTTATGTATGCCACAACAGCAGCAAGAATACTCATTGCAAAGTATTGGAAGACACAAGATCTACCCACTCTGGAAGAATGGCAGATGAAGGTGATTGACTATATGGAACTGGCGGAAATGACTGGCAGAATCCGAGACCAGGGAGAAGAGTCGGTGGAAGAAGATTGGAAGAAATTTAAAGACTATTTACAGAAATATTGTAAAATTAATGAATGTTAGAATGATGTTGGATAGAAATTAAGTGGTTTTTAGCTGCAATATTATAAGGGAATATGAAAAATGGATTACTAACAGGTAAAAATTTAACGTTACAATATTTTAAGATTAAAGATTAGGATAAACAAAGAGGGGAAGGATTTGCTGAACCAACAAACCGAACTGGAATACAAAAAAGGGAGGCGTGAGGAGGTCCGGGAAACAAGCTAATGAAAAATAAGTAATGGAAAGATTGAGTTGTTTTTAACTATTTTTATTTTGTATTGTTCTTTTTTCTATTTTTATTTTGTAATATCTTGAAAATTTTAATAAATATCTTATAATAAAAAAACAACAGAAATAGTACCTTGGGTTAAGAACTTTGCTTCAGGATGAGAACAGAAATCACGCAGCGGCAGCAGTGGGAGGCCCCATTAGTTAAAGTGGTGTCTCAGGTTAAGAACAGTTTCAGGTTAAGAATGGACCTCTGGAACGAATTAAGTACGTAACCAGAGGTACCACTGTATCAGTAAGAAAGCATCAAGACAGAGGGGAGGAGCTAGTTGAATTAAGCACCTGAGTTTGGTAGCCAGCTGCAGAGGCCAGGCAAGCTTAAAAGCAAACCTTACCCCACAAGCCTTAATTAAGTACTTGCATCCGGGGGGCCACTAGGGGCGCATCAGAAGATGGCTGACAATAACATCTCTCCGACCCACACGAGGTAATTTGGAGGCTGTGATGGGAGTAAATAGCCTCCCTACCCCCCCAGGATCGGGGGGGGACTGCCCTTGCCTGCTGTGCCCTATACCACCCCCGAATTTGTGGGGATGGGGGTACTAGGCACAATGCCCTCCTGTGGGATTTCGGCGCTCCTGGATGCCGTCTCTGATCCGCGCCACTAGCTGCAAGAACTTCAAAAGAAACAATTTGGATGAAGCGAATGCACATATTTCAAGGAAGGAGGGGGAGTAAAGACTGCTAACAGAAGAGATCTCTGATAAAACAAGACGAGTCGGAGGAACAAGTATAAATCATGAGATGATACGCCAAGACTCGGTATGGCAAAGGGACTGATGGAGGAGGGGGAAAAAACTTTCCTTTCTCTCCTTTATGTGATTAAACAAGAATCCCCCCCCTCACAAGTCAGAAATGTCATTTTAAGGACTTAAGCTGTGGATTTAAGGCTGTGTGGAGATAAACTTTCGAACCAAAGCATGTTTTGAGATGAGCGTGGAATGTATAAGGGCTTTGGAATGACACAGTTAAAAGTGCTGTCGCCATATTGGGAAGTTCTGTCGGAGGACTTAAGTCTGGGAGGAGAGATAGAGAAATAGAGCTGTTTTTATATTGTGGGTGAAACTCCTCAGAGGGACTTAAGAACGACAGTTCTGTAATTAAAGATGGAAATAGCGATGTTATCTATGAAGGCGATGATATATGGAAACCATCTTGATTTGAGGATTGGAAGAACGGAAAAATTCACACAGGATTATTATTGGTGTTTATCGGCTTAAGGAGACTATCAGAAGAGATCATAAAGAAAAAAGACAAAATATATGAACAAGATGTGATATGGAAACAGCAAGATAAGACTGGATAGAATTATGAACTTTGTTTGGACTGATTTGGACATTAATGTAGTAGCAACAAGATGATCAGAATCCCCCTTCGGATCTTCAAATATGGGTCCCCTCAACAAAATTTAAAATTCGGCTTTGTAATTCGGAATTTATGTGATGTGATGTGATTTGATTTGATTGGCTGGTTAATAAAAATTATTTTAAAAATAATAATAATTAAGTACTTGCATCCACATGATCTTAAAATGTTAAGAAACATTTTAAATAAATAAAAGTTAAACCATGGCCACATTATAGAAAGGCACATTGACAAGCCTCAGGTTCATGTGATCGCTCTTCGATGCAGTGCTGAGATGTTTGGAAGCTTTCTCTTGTTTTTACTACCATAGGTAATATTAGCTGTGATACACTGAAAAGTTGGGTAGGCATTACATTTTTGAAAGCTTCGGGACCTTTGCATAGTTTTGTGTCTGTGGGGATTCTGAACTGTTAGAACATAAATAAGCCCAGTACTTATTAATACCAGATTGTTTGCAAGGTTGCAGCTGTAACCGATAGCCTGGCAGAGGCATACAAAATAACCCTTGCCTATTTGTGATCCTAGGCACTGAAATCTCTGAGTAGGGCTGCAGTTCTGTTCCCCTCTATGCAACACCAATCACCAGAGGAACTAGGAATAGAGGGGATTCACTGAGACCACTAGATGGCAGAGATTAGTAGCGTCCATCTATAGATTCCGTTCTTGTAGCAGGATGGCAGAGGGTCAAATCACAGGTTACATGAGAATATCCTTGTATTTAATCTCCAGTGGCAGTTCTTTCCAATGAAAAGCAGCTCAGCAAAGGAGGCAATTTGGACTGGAAAAATGATGTGGGTAGGACCGAGTGTTTAACCTTTTTTCCCATCTGCTTTTCTACGGCAACTCCCCTTCCCAGCTGCTCTTCTCTCTGCTCCTGCCGGGATACAGATGTGCGTTTATTCTTTGATATATTATTGTGCAACTCCATTAACTTCTACTTTGCCCATCCCATTAAGTAGCCTTTGTACCACTGATGGAGATTGCTTCTCGCAGTTTTAAGTTATTGGCAGGAATACAAAAAGCTGTCTTATACGAGGGTTGCCATATTTTAAAAAGTGAAAATCTGGACACAAAAGTTGTTGAGCTTTTTTGGAAATATCAAGGGGAAGAAAATGAAGTTTTTGAGCTATTTTTGAGGAAATTCCAGACATATGGCAGCCCAACTTAGACTGACCATGGGCTCTTCTAGTTCAGAATCATCAATACTGACAGTTGCCCAAGATTTCGGACGGGTCTTTCCTTGGCCTTTGCAGACAGATGCCAAGGATTGGCATTATGTATGTGAAGCATAGGCCACTATCCAACTGCTGTGTCTCATCAGCGCATGGATTTACATGTGAATTCCACAATCTCCCCAAATCAGCTCCACAGTGCTGGGAAAAACCCTAGAACAGATTTTTGTTGGTGTATTGCCAAACTTGAAACGAGCCTTGAAGGATGGCCTTGAAGTGCATCCTTGAGGCATGTCTAAAACTTCTGCTTAGCAATGAGATTTCTTCCCAGCAACTGGTGTCCTTATCAGGGCATGTCTGGAGGAGGAGATATGCAGTGGAATGTGAGGCAGTCAGTGTTGGTCAGTGTGTCTGCCAGAATTTGTGAAAGTCTGATTTGAGGAGGGTGCAGCAGAGAGTTCCATTGCACATGTGTAAATCCTTGCACTGATGGGACACATTAGTTGGATGCTGCCCTTATATATTCTACCACTGAGCTATGACTTTTCAGGTTCCAGAAGACAGGTTTTCAATGATCTATTCTGAGGCCTTTGCTGAGCCCCATCCTTGACTTTCCTGAACTAGAACCTTGTAGTTTTGTTGGCCAGTTCACAGACATCACTGACAATTTAATCTGGTTTGATTGTTTCATCTTCCACATAATCTGTGAATATTAGTCTGTAGTCTGAGTTCAGTGGCATTCTACTGATTGCGAAGGAACTTGTAAACCTGAAAATGGAGTCAGGATTCCATCATCATATTAATTAAGTAAATAAATTGTCTTAATTTTGAATTTAATTTGGAAACAGAGTGGCCTCCCCTCCCCCCCAAAAAAGCGAAAAACATGGCTCGAAGTTTGATAAATATATATTTAGAAATCTCAATAATACATCAAATGTAGTACAATGATTATAGGGTCTAGGAGTAAATATTTCTTCATCTTTTTGGCTCAAGGAAATGATCACTGCTCACAATTCAAAGTGGCTATCACTGAGCAGCTGTGAAGCAGGAAGGGGACTTATTTGCACACAATTGCATGGCCCCTTGAAACTTCAGCTAAAAACTTGAAACAAAAACAACAGGCTTTTTAACCCATTTATGGTGACAGGTAGAGAAGCAGATAAAGTCAAGAGAGGAATCACATGATGGTGGGAAGCATCAGTCCAAAGGGGTGTGTATCACTGAGGTTGTATGCATCAACAAAAGATCAGCAAAAAAGAGAGATCACATTGGGAGGAGGTAACAGGAAATTATGGAGAATAGGATCCACTGAGAGGAACATCAAGTAGGTACTTGGGGATAGGGGAATGTCTTTAATAAACATCCAAGGCAAATTCTTCTTTCATGTCAATGCTCTTTTATACAATGCCAAATCTTCCAGCTAAGTAATTTTTGTTGTCTTGGGTAGTTGTATTTTTCCCATCACTCTTTTTGGGTGTATCTAAAGCAATGTATTTAATCTGAAAGCCTCCTGCCGTTACTGAAGCATCGGACAAAAACTTCAGTGTCATTACATTACCTAGGACGAGAAACAGAGAAAGAGAAAAATTACTTCTATTGAGGAAACACCTATCCCCCCAATAAAACTTCAAAGAATTTTTGAATTTCTCATTCTTTCTGCCAAAACACATGGTTGCATTTTTCTCTTAAGTGCACTCAGAAACACTGTCAAATATAATAAATGCCACTCAGCATGTGAGTAGGACAGGAATGGGAAACCTGTTGTCTTTGTGATGTTATTGGACTTCCAACTCCCATCAGTCCCAAAGGCCAGGGAAGATGTGATTTGTAGTCCATCAACATCTGTTAGGCCACAGGTTCTTCATCCCTGCCCTAGGAAGTAACACAGAGGTTTATAATACTTCAACCATTCTGCTTCTGTGAATTGGCCTTTGTGACGACCTCTCTGGATGGAACGTTCTGTTGTGCAGTACTTCTTACGAGTCTGAGAAGTAACTGTTATTGTCTTAGTCTATGGTTGTGTGGAGGTTTGCATGTGTATAATCTTACCTGTGCTGATTACATTTTCTGGAAGTTCGTCTCCACAATACCTGAAAAACATGACAGTTGATTTACTGGTTAAGTATAGGCAAGCCAAAATTCAGTAACACACTTGCTTCAGTGGCTACCTAAGCCTTTGCCAGACCGATATCAGCTTGAACTTACACTGGGTGATCTATCGTGAAGGATGCCACCATTATCATGTGTAGAAGACATCAGGTAAGATAAGCACATAGAAGTAACTTATATGCCACAACAATGGTAATTTGCAAAGTGGCTGAAGTCCTCAATTGATTTTGGATACTTCTCAACAGATTTGTCATGTTTGGCACAAATAGGAACCTTTTCAGGGACTGGGATTTAACATGAACAAAAAGGCCAGTGGCCTATACACATAACACAAAACTTTGCTTCTTTTGAATGTATTAACCATGACGGTAATCTCCCCTTGCCATGCGCAATTCTGTTTGCATGGTTGATAGAAAACTGGTTATCTGAAATATCAACATTTTAGTAACTGAAGGCCAACTGATAGATGATTACATGCTTTTAGACATGCAAGTTGTGTCACCTGGGAGGGCTGACAAGGAGATCGGGGCAAGCATGGTTTTAGACCTGTTTCCCCATGCTGTGGTCCTGGGGCAAATCACTCATCTGAATCTGGTATTATTTGTCTTGAGAGGAAATCCCCCATTGATGGGAAGTCCAAGAACTTCACTTGAATGAGAGGTAAGAGTCCACAAATGAGCTGAGATGAGTTTTCTCTCTGCTCTAATATTTTGGAGGAATTGCAGAGTTGGGGAATGGGTGGGGATTGACTGGGAATTGCAACATACTTCCAATGAATGAGTTTGGAAGGATTCCTGGATTGGATCTAAAAGGGCGAGAAACCAAGGAGTGGGTGGAAGTTGGAAAAAGTGTGTGGTTATTAACACTTCTTAGTTCGCTGTTTGTGTAAATAAATGATGTGATTGTTCAGAACCTCTGAGACTGGGTGGGATAAACATATCCAAATAATAGATGTGTGTCGTATCTACATCGTATGTTTATAGCATGTGGCTTTCCCCCAGCAAAACCTGGGAAGTGTAGTTTACTTTTCAGAAAGCTACAATTCCAGGCACCTCTAACAAATTATAATTACCAGGATGGGAAGCCATGTGGTTTAAATGAGCATAAAATGTGGTGGTAGTCTTTTTATTTCCTGGATGAAGTTTCCATGCCCCTGTATGGTGTAATATGTTAAGAAAGATGTGGAAATTGTTTTACCTGCCGACAAAACCATTTACGTCATCATAGCTGTCGTATATTTCTAAGTAATCAGCCATGCACGCTGTATCGTCTTCAAGATCAAAGTCGAGAAACTGAATTTGAATCCGTTGGCCGTATTTCACCCTTATATGCCAATAACATGTTTGATCGTTTTCATATTCCTTTGGGTAGCCAGGGGTTTTAAAGATGTGCTTTGAATCTGTGAAGATACCACCACAGGCTTTTCCTAGGAGAGAAATAAAACAAGAGGAAATTTAATTGGGCTGTCACAATGTCAAAGAAGACTTGCGGTGAGACACAGGTAACCAAAATTAATACTGGCACCTGCCATCACTGTAATGTGCCACATCCATATAATCATATTGTATTGTGTTTCTAGTATTTAAGGGAGAATGCTCACCAGGGTACAAAAAGAAAGATATAAAGAGTACTGCTCTACTAGACTTGGAGCCAGCAGGGAGCCCCAACTTTGAGCTTTCATTTTTTTAAATGAAGAAGAAAGTCTGTAGCCCCTTTAGAATGAAAGTTTAGTTGCAGAGTGGTTTATAACAACCCTGCAGTGTTTTCCCACAGTATTAGACCCTCATTGCAGGTTGGGCTGAAGCTGAAAGAGTAAGACCTGAGAATTGTAGTTTGTGCTTTTTACATGTGTGTTTAATGTGCTTTAAATGCATCGAATGTAGGCTAAAACAATGCTGCAATATTAACCACTGCTTTTATCCCCACAGTGGAAGTTTGGCTACTGCCTCCAAGCTGAATAATATCACTTACAAAGTACGAAGATCCCCCCCGCACCCAAATGAAAGGAACAGACGTAAACCAGCCAAGGTCAACAACTTGGTTTGATAATGATGCTCACCACCCAAACAATACATGTGGAAAAGATCTAGCTTGCCTCTCAGAGGAGACAGCCAAACAGGAGGCACAGATAGGCTGACTAATCTGAATTCTAAGAATGAAGGTTGCCTCTCCCTCTTTTCCCTGACATGTTCAACATCTGTGAGGGTTCTCCTCCCCTGAGAGGTTACGCAGCTGCTTATTCACACAGCTTTTTGTTTTGACTTCACATTGATAACTGCAAAGTGTGGTTTCCCCCACCATTTCTCAGAGAGTGCTAGTCACCATAGCGCTTCATGTACTAAACACGTGAACCTGATTGCTGCAATGATGGCATTTACAAAATGGCAAAAGGAAAGAAAATGTTTCCTGCACCAGAAAACCATGCTGTTTTTGATGGTGAGCTATTATAGTATAAAATGCACTATGAAACATTCCAGCACTGTTAAAGGAAAAGCAATATAATTGGGTTTAAGACTGCATTTACTGTATTTATAGGCACATGAATGCATGTTCATTTAAAAAACAAACAATCATTTTGGAATCTTCTTCTGAGACTGCCAGGCAAGCATCTTCCACGTGTTCTCCAAACCCAAACAACTTAAATTCCAGCACACCGTCTCCAACGGTATAATTCAGCAGACATAATTTGACCTTGTTACTCATAGGATTAAAAAAATAAATAAAAGTAAGTAGCACAGAACAATAAAGCTTTGTCCTTGATACTGTTTTTCTTTTTTACTGCCCCTTTGTCATCATTTCATTCTCAAGAAATGCTTTTCAGGGGTGAAGAAGAGCATGCAACAGATCTAGACTTTGCGCTTGTCCACATTTCCACTTGTCTTGTGCATAGAAAGCACGAGTCTAGGTCTGAGCAGTTTCCCCCCTTGCCTCACTCCTTTTTTTCCCCTTCTGAATTTGATAGTGTTTATTATACAAACCATTAGAAGTAAATTTACACAGCTGTTAATTATGGAAAGTGGCATCAAGTCTGGCACTACCATACTGTGTAACACAGTTTAAGATAGTAGAATAAGGCATTATTCCATTTAAAGGCATGCAGGAAGGGGTTTAATGCATTCCATATTTTTCCTTCAGCTCTTCCACTTTTTAAATATATGCTTTCATTGCATCTTCTTTGGATATTTCTCTCAAGGAATTCCAGGCATCCCACTTGGCCTTGCCTTTGAAATCAAGCATCCCAGGACGGTCTGTATTTACATCTCCAACTGTGGCCTGCTTGTAATGGCTGTAGATATCCAGCACTTTTTGATCTGTTGGTTGGGTCTTCAGCTTCTTGACTTCTTCTGCAGCTTTTGCAACCTCTGCCTATGCCATGGTTGCAGAAGAGCGCAGCGACCCCCTCCCGATGCAACAAAAGGCTGAACTGTGCCCATTGCAGTCTCTTGTCCCAGAGTCTCTCTGCCTCACTCCTTTCTCAGAGAAAACCTGCTTTTTAGGGCTAAATCGGAGCAAATGCGAATCCATTAAAAAAGAAGTTTGCTCTGACTGAGCACTAAAGAGCGGTTTCCCCAGTGGGACAAGAGGAAGTGTCAATAAGCCCCTCAGCAGAAGTACTCAGTCTCCGTTGATTCTAGAATGAAGTGCTGTGGGTACTCAGCCTGAGGCCAAATAACAGAAGCAATCATTGGAAAAGCAGAGTGTCCCTCAGGCCTGTTTGGGAGGCTAGCCAGAAAGCATTGGGCTTCCCTGAAAATCAAGCATAAAGCTATGTCAGTCGTTTTAGAGTTGACACCACTGCCTGCAGAAAACAAGGCCTTGGCAAGAGCAGAGAAGTAAGCCTGGACGTTGCTGGACTCTGGGACTGATGCTGCCTAGGGACTTGCCCTGCCTGTGCAAGCAGCTGTTTTCCTCATAATTCCTTTTCAAGAAGTATATTTGGCAAATGAAGGGATGTTCACAAAGATTTCAGAGGTCTCCAGGATGCTGTCATCGATAGGAAACTGCACAAAGTCTGCCCTGAGCTTTTGGAAAGGAAAGGAGTGGTCAAAGCAGCAGATTAGTGATGCAGTTTTAATTGGCACCTTGTACCTCGTTTTAACCTGTACCTTGTTTTAAATCCTACTTTATTTCTGTGCCAGCTGGGTGACTTTTAGTGAGCCATTGTTGGAGAACAATATCATCCCCAATATGGAGCTGCTGCTGAAATGTGTAGGGTCCTTGACCATGTGACATCACCACACTGTATATTTTCCGTCCATTTCCCCCACAACATTGGTAGCTTCTAGCAAGACATACCATCATGATCTCTCAATAGGCGGGCAAGTGATCCAACAAGATACATGGGAAAACTCAACATGGAATGTCATTTTTGGCAGTAGATCCATGTTGTGGATCTTTTGTTCTTATTTATTTCCTACTTAATTACTGAAGTTTAATTCCTGAATAATATGATGTTCCATCCTTAGTGTGCAACCACTCAGAACTGTATGATTAGACACTCTGGCACAAAATCCCTATGCTAGCAGGTAGCTGGTCTTCAAGGTACAGTACTATCCACTGAACTTTTAATTTTGTTTAAAAGTTAATTTTATTTTGATTTTAAATGTGATTTCAAATTGTATTTTAAACTAATCGTTTGATTTTGTGTTTTTAATGTATTATATTTGGTGTTAGCTGCCCTGAGCCTAGTCTCGGCTGGGGAGAGCGGGGTATAAATAAAATTGATGATGATGATGATTACTGGGAAAGTTGTTGCCCAGAAGTGTCCTTATCTTCAGTTAGCTTTATTTGCAAAATAAAAACAACAATTTGCCTCTTAGAATTTCAGGGAGGCTGAATTAAGAACTAGAAGGTATGTACTTCAATGAAAAGTTGGGTATTGAACAGATATTTCCATCCCTTTGTCCCTACAGACGAACCCTGGAGGAAAATGGAAAATTATCAACCACAGCCCTGAATATAAGAAGCTTAAATCCACAAATCTCTGGGCACTTGTTTTTCTGCTAATCAGAACATTTATGCTAACCAGAGGGGAAGGAAAACCCCGCTGACTTGGAAAGAAGCAGGTGATTTAGGGCGGCTCCGCACTCCATAAAATACCGCCAGCGGATTATGAAATAGGCGCTACATTGCTATGGAGTTCCTTGGATTATGTAATACGTAATGGGGCCCACTAGAAAGGAGCAATCAAGTACTGGCTCTGGAATTTCTCTTGAGAGTATTAAAAAGCACACAGATTTGCAATCGCATGCACACAAAAGCTTATACCCAGAACAAACTTAGTTGGTCTCTAAGGTGCTACTGGACAATTATTATATTTTTATTTTGACTACGAAAATGTTGTTTGTTGCACACTCACCATTAGGGTTGAAGCAGTAAGCATCCCACTTCTCGCTCCTGTTGAGCCGAAAGCCGTAGTCCACAATCCCAGTCTTTCCAAAGCCACAGTTGCTTCCAGGTTTAACAATGGGATAGCCAACTCTTCCTTTCGCTAACCAGCCAGCCGCACACATATGAAACCCTGGGGGATGGAAGGACATGTCATGTACGCCCAGTGCTGGCTTAAGATGGAAACACTGTACTTCAGATTAATGACCTTTTGTTCTTGTTGCCAAAAATGTAATTGACACACAGTTCGTTTAAATTGAATTAAGCCATGCAAGCGAAACAATTTCCACCCTGGACACATAAAATGCTGTGTGTATGCTTCATTTATTTTATTTTGTTAGAAAATGTGTCATCTTTTTTAACAATGGAAAGGGCTGTTTTCACTTTAAACTAATAAACAACAATTGGATGCAGATGCTTACTAGATCTTAGTCTTAGAACTGCTTTTTAAAGATGTCGGACTAGTGTAAGTCACTGAGTTACTAAAATTCGGGCATTCACTCTGTTGCATCCCTGTTGCCTGGCATTATCTTCAGGTACTCTCCAGGTTAATATCACTCACCACACTAGTGCAAATAGAAGCCCGTGGATGTAGAGATGTGGAGAAAAACAGCCTATTACCACCTTGCTTAAGACTACCTTAGTGCTGACAAGTCTGGGAGAGTTTCAGCTCTATGAAATAAGCATCTCAGCCTAAAATTGAGAGGTTGACATGTCCCAAGTGTGTCCTGAGATCTAGAAAATTGTACTACAACTTAGAATGATAACTTTCTAGGTGGAGGAGTTAGCAAAAGAGTCAGAAGGGTGTGATAGGGCCATTTATCACACACTGTACTCATTTATCAAATGGTCTGGCAATTAATCATTTTGGTTGCTTGCTTTTGTCGCCAGATTGCATCTTTCTAGGCCTCTTCACATGTTGTGTGGGGTTGTGCACATTTCATTTCATTGAAGCCATTTATATTCATTGATTCTTGAGCTCACACATCAGTTGTGTTGAATAGCAGCTCCAACAATTATCCCTTTTACTCCATTCCTGTATCCATTAACTTGGGAGCAAGTTCCATGGGACTCAATGGGGCTTATTTCAGTGTAGACATTGTATAGGATTGTGCTGTACATACCTTTCCCACTTGGATGTAAGTCCCATTGAATTAGCTATGACCTACAGCCAAGTAGCACATTGGGGATAGTGGGCAGCCTTGATATACAATGGTACCTCGGGTTAAGAACTTAATTTGTTCTGGAGGTCCGTTCTTAACCTGAAACTGTTCTTAACCTGAAGCACCATTTTAGCTAATGGGGCCTCCTGCTGCCGCCACCTGATTTCTGTTTTCATCCTGAAGCAAAGTTCTTAACCCGAGGTACTATTTCTGGGTTAGCAGAGTCTGTAACCTGAAGCATCTGTAACCTGAAGCGTATTTAAACTGAGGTAGCACTGTAATGGAGATTAATAAAACCAAACTGATTTCAATCCATGTCCATAGGGTTCTTAAACTTTCATCTTTGGTATTACTTATATGTCAATTTCTGTAACAAACAGCATTGTTCGTACAGATGTGTTTTTAACAGAAAAGGAAACAGATGAGGGAACTGAAATTAGACTCAATCATTGAACAATCAACAGTGCGGACAGTTTGTGTGAACATCAAAGGACAAAACACACTCTGGGCAGCTTTCCCCCATCTCTTGCCTTCTAGATGTTTTGGACTACAACTCCTATCAGCCACAGTCAGCACAGGAATGCCACAGTAGGAAGTTTCCTCACTAAAAGCCCAGTGGTTTTCTGTAGCTCTTCTTCACTTTGGGGGACTTTGTGGCATGCAGGAGAATTCCTGCTGGACCAGACTGCCAAATGATCACATATATTGCGTGCTCATACCTATTTTCCTTGCAGCCTCCAGCTGCTGGTATGTGGCTAGATGTCCTCCTTCATACTGACACACTGCTTTTGCTTCTGCATATGTGAGCTGGTATTTTCCAGACCTTGCTTCTCTATGGTACACTCCTGCCGCTCGTTCTGTGAAGCCAAAGCAACAAACAGTGATCTTTTTCTTTTCTTTTTAAAACAAAGGAAACAAAGATTTGAAGAATCTAGCAGGTGTCCTGCTCTTCACGGCCGCCGACAGTTTAGCCCAGGATGCTGTTCCTTGTAACGCGAACATGAGCAATCTATCAAATCTTCTCCGGGTGTCAGTGAGGGAATTCTGCCATTGCTCTTCTGACAGCAAGTAACATTAATTTTAGCGTCCACAGATGGATTTAGAGCACATGAACATTATGTACAGAAACTAGCTTCAAGCCTGACATAGCTTTTAATCAAAGAGCCTTGGGGACTGTAGATTGAGAAGGGGCTAGGGATTCCTTAAAAATTTAATCCTCCGCAACATCACACACACACACACACATTTATGACTCCAAAAATTTGCTTGGGGGGAGCCAACAACAATTAAATTGAATGCAAACAAGTCTCAAGCTAGTTTAAAATTGAAATTAGGCTGGCAACTAAATTCTCAAAGTTTAATGCTTTACTGCTGAGTTCCTGGATCTTTTGGGTCTTCCTCACTTATCCTACTGGTCATGCCTATGGCTGTCTACCTATTCATCCATGCTTAAGTTCCCAGTGCATCCTTTCTTCCCATGCCTGCCCTTTACTAAGATTTGGCCCTCTCGGTCACAATGTGTCCACATTTTATGCCCAGTCAGGTCCCACATGTGGTTCTTTGGCTAGTTCAGATGCAATGCCTAAAACCAGGGATGGAGAATCTGTGGTTCTTCAGGTGCTGTTGGATTCCAAATCCCACCAGCTTCGGCTAGCAAAAATAGAGGATTATGACAGCAGGAGTCCAGCACTATCTGGAGGGTCACAGGTTCCTCATCCCTGGCCTAAACGGTGGTTTGGCATTATTTGAATGAGTCTTCAAGGAGCTTTAGGATAGAATGTTCCTTCCTCCCTTTTCTAATTTGAGGTAAACCATTCTTTGCCACACTGTTTAAACTGGGCAACTCTGGTTTGTACTTGTTCTGCAAAACAGGATCGGCCACCAGGTTTTGTTCATGATTTCTAACCAACAGGCAACATCACACCAATATTTATTTGTTATCTCTACTATTTCATCTCTGCTGCTTGCGGCGGTTGCAGAAACAAATTGTAAGATGCCAAAGTGCAAGTTCTACAGCTATTAGAGGATATGGTTACAGAAAGACAAACTGGTAACAAAATTATGAATGCCTGCGCTAATCTGTTGAAAGAAATTCAATACAGCCAGCTCGGAATGGCTTAAAAACCCATCGATTTGGGATGATCAAACATTTGAATAATGGCGTACTTCTGTGGAAGCTGGCTTGGAAAATTAATCAGAACTTGTTCCCAAATGAGGCATGCATAGGACTGTAGCCCAAGTAGAATAGGGATTTGGGACATTTGCAGTCAGCGTAATAATGAGAGTTTCACAACTTGAAACCAACATCTTTTTAAAAAATCTATTGGATGTTATTGTTGCATATAAAAATGTGTTGTCACAGAAAAAACAGGTAACAGAGGGGGGCTGAAAGGGAGGCAACTAAACAGTATCCAGCAACTTTGATTTAATGAAGGCCTTTGACACTGAATTGTCACTGATGAGTAATTTTGCCAACACTGATTCACCCCACGAACACTGATTATAATATTAGTACAGGACAAGTCCCCTGCCTAGACCCCCACAAAGACTGGATGATGTGGTATGAAAAACCTTTTTCTTTTCTTTTTTTTGGCAGAAAGGTCAGGTTATTATATTCCCCCCATCTTCTTAAGTTCTTCCAACTTGGCTAACGACAACAAATTTCAGCAAATGTTTATTGCAACAAATATTCCTGAGCCAATGAATCTACGAAACTGGAAGTGGGGGATGTGATTTTTCCTGGCAGCGAGAATCATAAAGTCCATGTATTCAAAAAATGAACAGCCAGATTCCAGTACGCCCCATACCTCTCCTGTGCTTAAGGAAAATTCATTCGATTCAGTTATGTATGAATTGAAAACGTAAAGCGAGGGATAACAAAGTACATTTGCAAATAGAAGGACCTTGGGGTTTTGTCACTTTTGCTGGCCAGCATTTTACTCATGGCAGCCAAGGACAGAGATTTCTCTACTTCTGCTGGATGAATAAGTTTGTGCCAAGTTTGTCCTACGTTGCACACACACACACACACACACACACACACACACACACGTGATGCTGTTTGCCACGCCCCTAACCTATTTCCCAGGGCACATGCCCCCTTTCACCCCCATCAGAGGGAGCTCCTGGGACAGCAACTGTCATCTTCCCCACAACAAAGGACCTGCCATAGCTGTCCTAGTTGGAGGAAGGAATCCCTGTTAATTAGCAACTACAGCTAGATGTATAGTTGTTGTTAAAGAGTTGTTATTTCACAAGAGAGACATTTGCCTGATGTCGTTTGGCTACCTACAGCAGTAAACCGCTGCGTGGTCCTCCCAGGAGACCAAATGCGCCTGGAAAGGCCCATCAGTGTCACGCTGCTCTCTTGGAACAGTGCAGGGAATGAAATAATCATTCAGCATAAATCACAGATAAACAAAACGAAGCAACAAGACAAGAGCCCCTGGTACACAACTGGTATAAAACACCCTGCGAGAATAGGAGATGGTAGAAAAGAAAGTCAGTTAACAAAAATAGTCACATGGCAAAGATCTGAATATACATCATGTAATCTAGTAGAAAAGCTTATTAAAAGCTCAGAAGTATTGCTAGGAAGGCAGTGATAATTAGGGGGAAATCGTTGCTTTCCACATTTAATTTCTTTGGGGAAGTTCCTTGATGCAACACAGGGTAGTTTTATTAGTATGTTCTTGTGGGTATTGTTATAATAATATTTTATTGGTGTTCAAAAGTCAATAAGAGAATGTAGGTTTTTCAATCTTAAAACCAAACCAAACCAAAAATTATATATTTTAGAATGAACAAGCTGTTCCTGATAGTCTTCTTTGGGATTTTATTTGCAGTTGCTACAGAAACTACAGCAGTCAGTCTTTCTGACCTGCTCCTGTGGGTGGTCTAGATCTATTGAGAGTAATCAGAAACTTCCATCTCTCTTGCTCTCTTGTAAAAATCATTTTATTGGTATGGACAGGCTTTCAGCATCTGTACTCCACCTTCTCTCCTCAGTTTTTGAATTAAAAATCCACTGTATATACCAAAAATGGTTAAGCCGTGTCCCTCCAGATGTTGTGGGACTCCAATTCCCACCGGCTCTACTGAAAGACCAGCAACTTTTTGTTCCTTGAAATCTTTCCATTCCAGATGGTCATTACAATAACTCTGTAACCGAGAAAGTGCCTGAGTTTGCTTTTCCTCTCATTCCCACCCATCTCCTTTCCTTTTGTGCCATGCTTTTTTAAATAATAAACTTGGGGGCAGGGGCTTTCTTATTATTAACATTTGCAAACTCCTTGAGGTGCTATTTTTAGTTGAAGAGTAGGATTAAGATGTTTTGAATAAATAAAAAGCCACAACCAGTGGTCACCATTCCCATTTAAAGAGAACGAGGGTGGTGTTCAATGGTGAGTTTTGTCACCTCTTTTTCTAGAAAAATAGCACTGCCCTTGCTGTATATGATGGGGACTTTTTTTAAAACATAATTTTTATTAAATTTTATACTTTGTCACATACCAACGAAATCATAACATCACTTACATCTTTGCTCATCCTGAGCCTCGACTTCCCCCCTCCCACTCCCTGGCTTTCATAGGTATACCCTTTCGTCTTAGCATTCCTATCTCACCCGATTTACCTTCTTTTTATCCTTAAAGAAATTTACTTCCGTATTTGTAAACCAGTTCCACATATCAACATTACAAAATATTTTAAGTAAGACCTGCAAACGTTTTCAAATGTTTACAGTGTTCTTTCATATATTGTATAAATTTACTCCAGTCCTTTTCAAACAGCTTGTCATGCTGGTTTCGGATCTTCCCTGTCAGCTTTGCCAGTTCTGCATATTCAATCTTTTTAGTATGCCATTCTTTCAAAGTTGGAAGTTCCTGCTGCTTCCATTTCTGTGCTAAAAGTGTCCTTGCAGCTGTAGTAGCATACAGTAGCATACATTTGTTCTGGAGGTCCGTTCTTAACCTGATACGGAAGGGGGGGTGCATGTCTTCTTCACCTTCTTCTTCGCTACAATATATCCATTTATTTCCGAGTCCAATTGTCAATGTCAAAAGGGACTAAAATCTATAAAATTCATAGAAAATCAACGTGCCAATTTGCTCAATTTCTCTAGGACTCCATGACACCTCCCCTGTCCTCCATAATCCCTCAAGCAAGGTGTCAAGACCCTAATCCTATCAAATCACTCTGCCAAGCAAGCCTTCCCTCCGGGCAATGCCAGGTGGCAGACTATGCATACATGGACCATTGTCTTCTCATCACTGGTACTCAGGATGTGCTTATCTGCGCATATCTCCAGCTCTGCATATTCCCCCTCCCTCCTCCATATGTTAATCCTGTGTAACCCAACCTCTTCTTAATGTATTCATGATGTAATCTGTGTAACCCAACCTCTTCGTAATGTATTCATGATGTAACTGGGATGTATTTTGCACTGTATTCTGGGACATGGAGGGAAGTTTTAAAAGTTCATGTCGCCCCTTTCTCGCTGTTCAATCTCGCCTTGAACCTGTTGCGCAATAAACTTGGATCTTCTGCAGTTTGCTCCTGTCTCCGGCTGAGCTCATTTTCCTCCGCAGGGACCCGCGGACTTAGTCCGACGAGCTGGGTGGCAGAGCAGCCTCGCACCCAGATTTTACCATAACAACCTGAAACTGTTCTTAACCTGAGGTACCACTTTAGCTAATGGGGCCTCCTGCTGCCGCTGTGCCACAGTCGCGTGATTTCTGAAGCAAAGTTCTTAACCCAAGGTACTATTTCTGAGTTAGCGGAGTCTGTAACCTGATGCGTCTGTAACCTGAAGCGTCTGTAACCCGAGGTACCACTGTATGTCTTTTAAAGGAATTTCTTCTCCTATTATACCCAGTAAAAATGCCTCTGGTTTTTTAATAAAAGTATTTTTAAAAGACCTTTTTCAGTTCATTATATATCATGTCCCAGAAGGCTTTAGTCTTAGTACAAGTCCATATGATGGGGACTTTGCATGCTGTGCTGATGCTCCATTTTTCTCTTCTTCCTCTGCCCTACTGAGTAATTGAGAAGATAATGAGTGTTATTTCCTTTCCTAGTAATGCACACAACAGTCTCTGCTTCTTTTCATCTCATTTCTCTAAATATTCTTGAGCCACACTTGACCCCTTTGAAAGCTGCCTAAGGACTCATAGGCCAGTTTCATTTCATGAGCATCCTTAGCTCATCAATATAGACCAGTTTCTATAACTACCCAGAGAGGTGCAGACATTGTAATGGCGGTGGACCCTTCATTGGAAGTCTTCAAGCAGAAGTTGTATGACCATCTGTCATGGATGCTTTAGCTGAGATTCTTGCATTGCCCTCTAGAATACTTTCTATGATTTTTTGACTGTACCATGGAGTTGAGTTGCATGCATTTGCATTGGAGAAATGAGGGGATTAGTGCTGACACCAAAAAGCAGGAAATCTCCCAGCTGGATGCTATTACAATAGCTGTAAAAAGCTGTCCCCTCAAATGGCAGAGGGCTCAGGAAATAATTATCCCTGGGAGTCCTGGACGAAACTCTTCTCAAATGTTCCATGCAGATCGCAAGCCCATCTGTGCACTTAGAAATATTTATGCTTGCAGGAGGGAGGGCTGTGTAAACGAATTAAGGCTTGGACATTGAGTTTTTCCACAACAGAAATTTAAACCCTTATTCTATCAGGGGCACCAGAGGTGGGTAGCTCAGAAACACCACCATGGCCTCGCAGCTGGTGGGATAACATACAAAAACTGCTTGCAAAAATGTGTTTATTGGGAGAAATTCAAACTCAACTGAATTTCCATGTGGAAATGTGGAGAACGGAATTTAAGATGGGGGAAAAATGGGAATCTGAAAGAGACAAAAATTGGCAGATTCAGTCATCCCAACTCAGGTCTCCCACATTTCCCCTATATCAAACCGTATCAGCAGTATCCCTTGCTTTCTATTCCACTTTGTTATTGGATTAAGATGGTAGTTCAAGGAAAAAACTGTTTTACTGTGACCAATTAGCAATTATAATAATTTATACCCAATCGCAAAATGGAGATATCAGCAAATACTCATAAGTATTGGAAGACACAAGAACACGCTGGAGAATGGCAGATGAAACTTATGGACTATATGGAACTGGCGAAATGACTGGTAGAATCGGACCAGGGAGAAGAGTCGATGGAGGAAGACTGGAAGAAAAAGACTATCTTCAGAAACACTGCAAAATTAAGAATGTTAAGTGATGTTGGACTGAAACAAGTGGTTTCAGCTGTACAGGTTAAAGTTAGATAGATTAAGATTAAGATCAAGATTAAAGATGTTTAAAGAAAATTTGATAATAAAGGAAAATTTAAGTTGTATGACATTAGATCAAGGATTAGGTTTAAAGTTGAAGTTATATATCTTAACGTGTTATTAAATTAAAGTTGGGATTAAAAGTGAAAGAAACTGCTGGACAAACAATGTAGATTGGAATACAAAGAGGGAGGTATGAGGAAGTCCAGAAAATAAGTAATTTAAAATTGGAAATGGAAAAGAGAGTTTGTTTTTAATTGCTATGTTTTGTGATTTTATTGTTAAGTTTTGTATTGTTTTTTGTGTGTGTTGTTTTTCTTTTTTTGTTTGTTTAAAATTTTAATAAAAAATTATTAAAAAAAAAAAGATGGTAGTTCCAAGGAGTATGGTATTTATTACTGCTGCTCAGCTCTGGAATAATCTGCTGGAGAAGTTATTGGTAAGAAATTGCACACAGGGCGTACAATATATAGTTTCTGTTCACTTTCAATTGATCCGTTTTTCAGTTAGGCTATTTTTTTTATTATTATTTAATTTCAATAGTGTTGATTTGCTATTTTGTTTTATTCCTGGGTCTTTGGTTTTACTTCTGCTTACCCACTTTGAGCCTTTGGAAAAAGTGAACTATAAACAACTGGAATGCATACATATACATACAGCCTGCCAACCACCAGGACCCCTGCTGCATGGCCTATTCCTTTTAGTGCCAACACACAGTGTTGTTATCAGAGCAGGACTTCAGGGCAGACATCCACTAGAATGATCAGGAGGATCCTCCCCTAAGCAGCAGGGCAGAGGGATCACACTTTGAAGTATGTGGAATATTTATTAATTTGTGTAACCAAAATGCATGTACTCCTTGATAGGAGAAAAACCTCTAAGTAGTTTGCAAAAAATATAAAATAAAACATTTTTAGTTAAAAAAATGAAAGCCAGTATTTAAATCATTCAAAGCATAGTTAAAATCAACAGTAGCTAAAAAGTGATAAAATACATATAACTTCTGAACGTCTGGATAGGGTTGCCTGAACAATAACAAATATTAAGCAGTTGCCAAGAAGAATACAGGGAAGGCACCTGTCTGATGACTATAGACAGGGAGTTCAAAAGTGTAGGTGCTGCCACGCTAAATGATTGATTTATTGCAAATGTGGACAAGTCTCATGGGGCACTTGTAACAGTGCCCATTATGCAGATCAAAGTAGTCAAACGGGCACATACAAGGTAAGGCAATCTCACAAATAAACTGGTCCCAAGCTGTTAAGGCAGTGGTTTTCAACCAGTGTGCCATGGCATCCTGGGGTGCCTTGAATGATGGCCAGGGGTGCCGCAGGCAACTCTGGCCTCCGTCCCCGCCTCTAGCATCTCTGTCTCACCAAGGCTTGCACAGCTGTTTGTTGCAGCAGCCCCAGCAACAAGCTCCACAGGCGAATGGTGCTTCTGGGGCTGGCCAGGGAGTGCTAGTTACCTGAAGTTACCTGGTGGCCTCGGAGAAAGCAAGCATTCAGGCAAGGGAGCCCAGCCAGCCAGTCCACCAGCCCTTGCTGTTGGGCATGGAAGGACAAGTGGGAGACCAGGCAGGTAGGCAGGCACTGCACTGGCCTTTCTTGTGCTTGCTGTGAGCAAGGCCTGCCTGGGAGCCCAGTGCTGGAGGGGAGCCTTTCCGCCGTGCAGGCCCTGCAGTACCCACTGCTGCCACTGCTACCTCCCAAGGTAAGGTGCTGGCCTCACATTCACCTTTGGTAAGTTTCCGTTGGGCCACTATGGCTGGGCGCATCCTCTTCCCAATCCCCTGTGGGGCAGTGTGAGGATGTGCTTCTCTTTGGGGCAGGGGGAGGCAGCTCAGAGAACAGGGGCAGTGGTGGCAGCTGCCCAGAGGACTCCCAAGGAGAGGGGAGAGGAGATTAAGCTGAAGGAACACTCCAAAAGGGAGAGCGTTCGAAAAAGGGTGAGAGGCTGCCAGCTCTGCAGGCAAGGGGTGACATAACTGGGCTCCTGAGCCCCACAGGGGTGCCGCAGAAAGAATACAGTTGGTCAAGGGAGCCATGGACTTAAAAAGGTTGAAAACCTCTGTGTTAAGGGATTTATAGGCTCATAGTAACATACTGAACTTGGCCTAGAAGCAAATGGGACAACCAGTGCAGATCTCTGAGCAGCTTTAAACGTATGGTGTGGATGTCACCTCAGGAAAAAGAATGTGTTAACCCCAGCTAAAATACAGTGCAGTTTGACTTCAAAGAAAATGCTGATTTTTCACACAATGCAAGTGCTACCCTCAAGGAAGATGTTTGACTCTTGCAAGACTAAGAAATAGGAACTTTGCCTCCCTGCAGTGCCAAGCCTAAGCACAGCACAAAGTTTCATTGTGACTGTGGTTGACAGCATGGTAAAGCCCCACATGCTGTGTTCTCAATTAACACATCCCTTCCTCGGTGCCTGTAATGAAATAAAGCCGGAGTCGCCAATGCGGTACCCAACAGATGTTGTGGACCACAGCTCCCCGCATCCCACTGACCATTCCATCACGCAGGCTGAGGCTGATGGAAACTGTAAGCTAAAACATCTGGAGGGCGGCACCATGTTGGCCACCCCTGAAATAAAGAGTAAACTGCAATGCGAATTCACAACCAGCATCGTGTGTAGTTAAGGCCTCTATATTGGTTTGTGCGCTGGGAATGTATTGTTTCACTCAAGTGTTTTATTGCGCCTTCCTCATCCCCCTGCCGCATTTACAATTCATGAGTAAGATACTCTGACATTCAGGATTTTTCTGCACTCCTCTGACTATATTTCCATCACATATTAGGCGAGGTGTGCTGACTTAAAAACACAGGGCACCTCTCGTGATCCATATTCTGAGCCCTTAAGACACCCTGGTCTATAGTCTGAGCTTTTCCCCTCTCCAAGTACTGACACAGGCGCACAGGGAACTATCCTGCAAGTACTCTGTTCCTGCTAGTTCCCCCACAGTAGTGTGCACTGACGTTCAGCTTCCAATGCTGCATATTGATTTCGTTGGGGTTTCAGCACGTCTTTGTTCCTTTGCATACTACCCAGTATCGTTAGGACCTAGGTATTACTCTACTAGTGGTTCTGAAAGGGCTAGCTAATTTTATGTTAAGCAGCTATATACCATAAACAATCAAAAGTTGGTTAGGATAAAAGCAAATGTCACTTCCTGACATCCTGGAGAGCTGCCACCCATTAATGTAGGCAGGGGTTGGGGAACCTATGGCCCTTCTGTTTTCGTTGGGACTACAGATCCCATCATCCCTGGCCATTGAGCATGGGAGTTGGAGTCCAGCAATATTTGGAAGGCTACAGGGTCCTCATTCCTGGTGTACACAGTCCTGAGCTAGATGGAGAAGTGGTCTAACAGGTAGGTCAAAGATAGCTTAAATATGATCTCTGTGCCTTAAGTCCATAATCCACCCATATGTCATGCATGTATTTCTGGGAAGTGGTTTCCAGCAAGTCCAAATGTGCTTCTTAGAATGGTCTTAATCAGGAATGGATTGCGTTCCACTGAAACGCAAGTAACGGAAAGGCTTAATGATCTGCTCTTTAACAAAAACCCCAAAGGGCAAAGAATGGATCTGTCGTGGTCTTGGGTTGTAACACTTAGTGCTCTTTCTTGATCATAAGCTCCTTTGAACTGAGCTGGGCTGAGCGCCACGCTGGCAACTTCTAAACATACCCAGGTCATGTACCTGAATGTGTTTTCCACCCCCTCAGACATCACATTTGAAGCACACAGTGTAATACTTGAACCAGCCTCGTAGTTTGACCTTCCTGCACCTTAGCCTGGGGGGGGGGGAGACATTTCTTGTAGAACAGCTGTGTTTAAATGGACAAGACTGCCTGAGTTTAAATGACCTTTGTATGGCAGCCTTTGTTGTTTCATTTGTAAGTAATATCTTGGCCACATGAGACTTTTTCTAGGGTTTCTATGTCAGCTGCCAGAGAATTTACCCGGCGGTGTGCTTCATGGCTAAGAATGCAGCCCTGAAGTCACTTTTGGGGCAGCATTTTATTTTGTGGCAAAAAAGATTTCTGCATTGCAGGGGGTTGGACTAGATGACCCTTGGGGGTATCTGCAATTCTATTATTCTGTGTCAGTATAAAGTGGAACTAGATGTTATAGAAGACACAGAGCTATTATTGACAATACTCCACCCCCCTTCTCAAGTTCTCTCCATCCCAATTCTCTATCCATTTCTGGTTCTGCCAAGAGAGACCATTACTGAGATACTGAACAGGCTCCAATCTTTATTTTCCTAAGTAAAATTCAGCTGTTCCGAAATAAGAGGGAAGGCAGGAGGATGCTAGAATAAGTAAGACATAAGAAAGTCAAAAGACAGCAGAACAAAAATGGGATACAGAGAACGGGGAAGTACAACTGCTCTGAAATGTTTTTTAAAACCACTTCTTTCACAATGTATATTTCCCAAAATATCTGTATATGAAGCATCAAGGAATTTCATATATGTACAAGGCAAAGGCTGATATGTATCTTGCACAGCTGTTTCTGTTTAGTTCTCTCTTTCTCGTGCTCTCTCTCTCACACACATTCTCTAGAGGTTTAGCTTTCCATTCATCTCAAGCTTCCAGATAATATCATTCTCCCAGCTCATATTTCTAGGCATTCTTTTTCACAAATGAAATGTCTGCACCACTTTTTTAAAAAAAGTAAAATAAAGAACATTAAGCCAAAACAATGCAAATGAATTCTTGTTCGGCTGCAGCAAGATGCTGCCTTTAAATCAATGGGACGTGACAACTGAAGCAGCGATTTGGAAAATGTTGTGGGTATCCCTGAAGCCAAGGCTTTGCAAATGGAAACAAATGAACAAACAAAATGAATAAATGAAAAACCTCTTACCTAGCCAGATAGAGTTATGTAGAACTCCGTCCTTGAACCCCCAGCCAGCAGCTGTATCCCACAGCAAGGCAAAGAGAAAAATCAACACAATCATATCTTCTGTTAAGAGTATTTTGCAGTCACTGTTGAAGCGGGTCTGGAAAGACTCCTTCTAGCAGCTGCTGACTTTCTAGTGGAACATCTGGCTGCCAGATCTTATATAGTGTTTTCATCTGTGAGGTCAGCAAGCCTGCTCCAATTGAACATGCTGTAGTATTGCTCACACATTAAAACTTCCCTGATTTTTTTGTAAGTCTGACTCATTTTACGTTTCCCTTACATGAGTCTCCAAAGTCTACAGCATCCAAGTAAAGGTTTAATTCCTCATTTGCCAAAGCAAACATATTATTTTCGAACAGTTAAATATCTTTTTTCTTTTTTTTTTGGAACCTCCTTCTTTTGACACTGAAACGGCAATCTGCTTCACACAATTTTGATCTTTTTACTGTATTTTTTTTACCTGTTAACTATCTTCTTTCCCTCCCATAACCATCGTCACTTATTTTGATACTCAGACAGCAAGCTGCTCTACACAATTTCGCCTTTGTAAAAGCATAACAACTGAATCCTTTGCAGGATAATTTGACTGTAGGTTCTGTCTGTCGCAGATACGCTTTCATGGAGTGGAAAAGCTTCTAACCCTGACTAGAGAACCAGAGTGAGAACTTCGCTGCTCTGGCCCGCCATCCAGGTTCCTCGTGCTTGGTGCCCCTGATAGGGAAGTTAAAACATTTGGCTTGATGGGCTTTCCACCACACAATACAGCTGGTCCGGGGTACTTAAAATGACCAGCCGCTGGGACATGACTCCTCGCTGCACCTGGAATGGAAGGCATGCCGCAAGGGGCTGCAACTGCCGCCCACCCTGACTGTAGGGTAAGTGGCCATTTTGGAATAACCAAGATGTAGGAATCTACAGCTATTGCTTTCATTTTTGGACACCTTCAGATCACTAATTTTAGGATAATAAATTCATTTTTTAACCCCACTAACTTTTAAGTTAGAAAGAGATACAAAGCACACAACGAATTGAGGGAGTTCCTCCATGGCTTTTGTGTTCCAACATGCCTCTTTTGTACTCAGAGTTTCTAACATAAGGCACAGCTATAATATGGCATTGAGGAACCCACTCTTCCAACCAAAAGTTGACGATATTGGCTATGGAGACCCACTGTGGGCTTTATGTCTGCAAATGGAAGGATTTCCCATAGGGCAGAAGCCTCTAGGTCTCTTGTCCTCAGCGCTCTCCAAAAGCCACACCCCTCACCTGGCCCACCCCTCTCACCAGCCCTCCTCTGTGCCCTCATTTGTGAGTGCCTTTCCCTAGATGGAATGTGTTTTGAACTGTGTTTTAATGCTTCTTGTGTATGTCTCAAGCAAGATGGAAAGCTTAAAAGCTCTTTTTGGGCCAAATATGTGCGGGGTTACCCAGCACAAAAGGAGCTTTTAAACTCTCTGCCTTGCTTGCCAGGCAAGGCCTGAGACAGCCCTAGAAGGCTCTGGGAGGCTCTTGTGAGATCTTGTGGGACCATCCACGTTTCCGCAGGTTCTTGTGTAAGCATCCCTAGCCTTCCAAAGCTGGCCTGCTGGGTGGGCCTTGCCTCCCAAGCAAAGCAGAGACCTTAAAGGCTCCTATCATGCCAGGCAACTCAAGCAAAACCAGTGCAACAAGAGCTTGTACCCTCTCCACTTTGCTTGCTAGTCAAGTCCTGCTCAGCACACCAGTTCTGGGGTGCTGAGGAAGCTCTCTTCCCCAGCTCACCCACCAGCGATGGGGTGGCTCCAAGGGTTAGACTAAACATGGAACCCTTGGCTCCACACCACTGCATGAGATGTGGGATTACTGTACGTAACTACAGTGAAGAACACACATACAGCGCCTCTAGTTGTGGGGTGTAAAGTTCAGCCCTGCCCTCGTCCCATCTGAGTCATGGTATGACAGATGTCTACTGCTCCTCTCTTGTGGCTTCTGGGAGAGCTGCTGCCTCAGCAGCTGTTTTTGTGGTAGGTGGGTCTAGGGAAGGGAAGTGAACAGAAGTTGGCATAGAAACATCTCTTCTACCACCACCCTCCCCACCCTCTGAAATATTCTTACAGATGTGAAGGTGGAGTCCGTTTCATTGATTGCACAAGGGACTTCAGAAGACCATTTATGCAATATCCCTGGGAGAGTGTTAAGGCAATGTAGGAAAACAATTTAGAATGTAGTGACTTGGCCTAACTTGACATAACATGGTAACAAGAACAACAAAAACAAAGTAAATCAAAGTCAAGGAGCTCAGATTCTATCTCTGTGTTCCTTGCTCTTTGGGTGTGTTGAAGGAGCAAAAGGCAGGCACAAACAATTACAGTGGTACCTCCGGTTGCGGACGGGATCCCAAGGTTTCTGCAACTGGAGGGACCACTTCTGTGTATGTGCACAGCACGGTAGAGCACTTCTGCGCATGCACGCATGGCGAAACCTGGAAAAATACGTCCGGGTTTGCCGCATACATATCCCGAAGAATACATAACCAGAGGTGAACGTAAGTAGAGGTACCACTGTATTACCATTAGTTATTACCATTACTATTATTATTTCCCTGTACAGTGGTACCTCTGGTTAAGAACTTAATTCGTTCTGGAGGTCCGTTCTTAACCTGAAACTGTCCTTAACCTGAGGTACCACTTTAGATCCCCACCCCCTTCAAAAAGAAGCAGGCTTGGCTTACCATATTTTGAGGTAAGTAGGTGAAGTATGTAAGACCACTACAATGCAATCCTATGCAGGCTAGAGACCATCTTGGCTGTGAGCCTTGGAAGACCTACTCCCTGTCTTGTAAGCCTTTTCCACCTGGCTGAGGAGGATGGGGCATTGACTCCAGCTACAGAAGCTGAGGCTGCTGAACAGACTTTGGCACTGTTTAGGGGTTTTTATTTGAGGGGTTTTGTTTGCCATTGTTGATATTAATTCTTTGAATCTTTATTTTAGATCTTATTATGATTTATGTGGAAATTTGCCGTGGGTTTTTTTTTTTTTGGGATGTTTTATTTATTGCTTATGGCTACTTTCATGTTACCAGCATGTTTGACCAAACTGCAGGAGGCAGTGGAAGACAGGAGTGCCTGGCATGCTCTGGTCCATGGGGTCACGAAGAGTCGGACACGACTAAACAACAACAACTTTCATGTTGTCATTATGTATTCCTTTTTGAATGTTGTTGGCTGCCTGGAGCATAGTTTTACCAATGTGTGTATGTATGTGTGCACCTACTCAGAAGAAGTAAGTCCCACTGAAGTCAATGGGACTTACTCCCAGGTAAATGTGCCTAGGATTGCAGTTTTAAGACCATGGTCTAAAATCAGCAAACTGCACCATGCCCAATTGCCTTCAACCAACATAGCTTTTTCTTCCTCTCACTTGGCCTCTTAAATGGCAAACAGAGTTGTTTTTTCATCTACCGCCCCTCCCCCCGAATGTTTTCTGTAGGTAATATGGGGATAACTTCACAAATCTGCCCCGTCATGTTAGCTAGAAGGAGCAGTCATGTTCTCCAGGTTCTGATAGCCTTCAAAAAATCATGTCCTAGCCATTAGCTGCCACCTGGCAGAGCAATATTCTGGGCTAATGTGTCCAACAAAAGGAATAGCAAGCCAGCAGCTGTAACTTTGTACTACTTCCTGGAACAAACAGAATGGATCCAAAACTTGTTTATTAGGCACATGTGTATTTGGTTCTGGGTATCCTTTTCTGCACCGAAACAGGCAAAGCAGATGTGAAGCGAAGCTAGACATAAATGCAACTGATACAATATACGTCTGGCTTCCCTACAGTCCTGTTCAAGCATTTTGGTTCATCTACCGAAGCACCTGAGATTCTATTTTTTGACTAAAGAAGCTTCTTGTGCTGTATTGGAGGCTGTTCTGGAGAGAGTCAATAAACTTCCTGTATTGGCAGGAAGGAAGCTAATGACCTATAACATCACAGAACATTGGTAGGAAATCTCAAGAGCAGAAAGAAGCGCCACCTGTTTTTTTAAAAAAATAGAGAATCTCAAGCTCCTGAAGGAAATAAAGAACAGAGGCAGGCTTCCTGTGAATTTAACCGAGTTAAACAACCAAGCTGCAGCCTACCAAATAACCTGTTTGATCATTTATGTTGATTAGAAGAACAATTGCCTCCACATTTTAATTTAACTTTTATAATTAAGCTTAAATGTATGAAGTATTGCTCCTTTTAAAAACAGTTTCATGGATAGGTGTTTGTGTGTTCTATTACTGAAAATTTTTAATTAGAAGGGCATCTCCACAATATCCCCTTGCTCAGTAAGATGAGAGTTCATGGAGTCCCCAATAAATATATGGGGAACCGAATGTCTGGGTTATCCCTGAGAGGATCTATTGACAAACAGTTCCATAGGAAGAAGAGCACTATGGCTGCAGCTGTCCAGCCAAATGACGCCACCAAGTGGATGTGCTAAGAAAAATCTGGGCTGAGTGGCTCTGTGTGGGCCTGGCAAGTGGTTCTGCAACATGCTAAGCTCACATGTATCACAACACTGCTCAGTCTACTCTTTGTGGCGGTGAAATTACAGGCCATATTATGAACTCGGTGCTTGAATTACTACTTCACTTCACTACAGCTCCCATCAACCTCGGGCAACATACCCAATGGTCAGGGATGATGGGAACTGTAGTCCAGCAACATCTGGAGGACACCACATTGGCTACCCCTGTGAATTGCCGCTGCTTCTTATTGGATTCAAACAAGACTTTGTTCTTTTATAGGATAGTAGTGCAGAGTTGTTGGGAGTTGCGTGGGACCAGCTCCTGGTACATATTTATAGTACAGCTGGTGATGCTACATATTGATAGTAGGGCAACTGCAGTGTTCGGGGGTTTCTTTTTTTAATTCCCTGGACCTAGAGGACTTTATCTTGTTGCAAAGCTATTTAAAATGAGTGATCCAAAGTCTGATGGCATGTTCTTCTTTGCAAGAACCCAGAATTGACTCAGACTGCCATTTCCGCATTGCCCCCACTTGTCTTGGCAGTACAAGCCGTCCTTGCTCCCTCATTCTGCACAGTTCTTCACACATGTTCAGCATTCACAAGTGTCTTGGAAGGTGGTTGCTCCACCACAAAGCACACCGAACAATTGGGCTCCTTATCCAGCTCAGAAAGCGCTGGATTATTTCGTTAAATTGCTGCATT